ATCAGGTGGCAAAATTGTCATTTACCCTCCAAAGGAGAGTTTGTTTGATCCTAAAGAGAACATAATCATAGGTAATGTGGCTCTTTATGGTGCTATATGTGGTGAGGCCTATTTCAATGGAATGGCAGCAGAAAGGTTTTGTGTACGTAATTCAGGGGCAAAGGCTGTTGTGGAGGGTGTTGGTGATCATGGATGTGAATATATGACTGGTGGCACTGTTGTCGTTCTTGGTAAAACTGGAAGAAATTTTGCTGCCGGTATGAGTGGAGGTATTGCGTATGTTCTAGACTTGGATGGACAATTTGAATCCCGATGCAATCTAGAGCTTGTGGATCTGGACAAAGTTGAGGAAGAGGATGATATTTTGACTCTGAAAATGATGATACAGCAGCATCAGCGTCACACATCAAGCAACTTCGCAAAAGAAGTCCTTGATAACTTCGAGAACTTATTGCCTAGATTTATTAAGGTTTTCCCAAGGGAATATAAGCGTGTTCTCTTGGACAAGAAAGCTCAAGAAGCCGCCAACGAGGCTTCAGACCCAGCTGTTATAAAGGATGCATTTGTGGAGCTCAAGAAAATGGCTGCTGCCTCCTTGAATGGGCATTCGAAACAGGTAACTTTTGAGTTCCCTTAGACTAGTTCCCTTACCTTTTGTTCACTAGTATGGTTCTGACTTGAATTTGGATCCGAAGGTTGAAAAGATTGAAGCACCAAAGAGACCTACTGAGATACCTGATGCTATTAAACATCGGGGCTTTATTGCTTATGAGCGTGAGGGAGTGAAGTACAGGGATCCCACTGTTCGAATGGGTGATTGGAAAGAGGTTATGGAAGAATCAAAACCTGGGCCGCTGTTAAAAACTCAGTCAGCTCGATGCATGGATTGTGGTACCCCATTTTGCCATCAGGTAGTGATGATGATCACTGCCCAGTCTTTTTCCCAAATTTTACAACATGCTTGAATCTCATTTTATAAGCGTTTGTATGTCTTCTGACCTTCATTCTTTTTTGTTTTTAATTATTTCAGGAGAACTCCGGATGCCCTCTTGGTAATAAAATTCCTGAATTCAATGAGTTAGTTTATCAGGATAGGTGGCGTGAAGCTCTGGATCGTCTTCTTGAAACAAACAACTTCCCAGAGTTTACCGGCCGGGTCTGCCCTGCCCCATGCGAAGGATCTTGTGTTCTGGGCATTATTGAAAATCCTGTGTCTATCAAAAGCATTGAATGTGCAATTATAGACAAGGCCTATGAAGAGGGGTGGATGACTCCACGGCCTCCCCTTACGAGATCTGGGTAAGCAGATGTTTTTCTGTCAGCTTCTATTGACATTCGTTACTTCGACTTCGTAATATGACCATTTTGTTTTAGACCGTGTACTTCTTGTTCACAGAATTTGTTGATGAATGCAGGAAAAGGGTAGCCATTGTTGGAAGTGGACCATCTGGCATGGCTGCAGCAGACCAGCTAAATAAAATGGGTCACACAGTGACAGTGTATGAACGAGCTGACAGAATTGGAGGACTTATGATGTATGGAGTTCCAAATATGAAGACTGACAAAGTGGATGTAGTTCAGCGGCGTGTTAACCTTATGGCAGAGGAAGGTGTTAACTTTGTTGTTAATGCTAACGTTGGAACTGATCCTTCATATTCTCTTGAACGTCTTCGAGATGAAAATGATGCACTCATTTTGGCTGTTGGTGCCACAAAACCAAGGTAAGTCTCTTCAATTTACCATCCAAGGAATTTTGATGCACATCTCGATCATCCTTAAGAATTCCTTGAAAATATGTTTTGTCTCAGGGACCTTCCTGTGCCTGGACGGGAACTTGCCGGAGTCCATTTTGCCATGGAATTCCTTCATTCAAACACGAAAAGCTTGCTTGATAGCAATCTGGAAGATGGTAAATACATTTCTGCAAAGAACAAAAAGGTGGTTGTGATTGGTGGTGGTGACACTGGAACAGATTGCTTGGGAACCTCTATAAGGCATGGTTGCAGTAGCATTGTAAATCTAGAGCTTCTTTCTCAGCCGCCACCGACCAGGGCTCCAGGGAACCCTTGGCCACAGGTTTGCCTTCATTTTCCTTCGTCCTCCTACTACTATGATTGGGCGAATGCTTGGTCCTATTTCTGGGGTTACGTTTTGACACTCACCATTTCTGGGATTGCAGTGGCCCAGAATATTCCGAGTTGATTATGGACACCAGGAAGCAGCTGCCAAATTCGGAAAAGATCCAAGATCCTACGAGGTTCTGACTAAGCGGTTTATTGGAGATGAAAGTGGGGTAGTGAAAGGACTTGAAGTAGTGCGTGTTCAGTGGGAGAAGGATGCAAGCGGAAGGTTCCAGTTCAAGGAGGTGGAAGGCAGCGAGGAAATAATAGAGGCCGATCTTGTTTTACTGGCAATGGGATTCCTGGGTCCCGAATCGGTTAGTGTTTTTTATTTACATTACATTCACTTGTCACACATGGAAGGCTGCTGTGTAACTTGAGGCTGAGTATTGTTTCTTTGCATTTTACAGACAGTAGCAGACAAGCTGGGCGTGGAGAAGGATACCCGGTCGAACTTCAAGGCTGAGTATGGCCGCTTCTCAACTAGTGTAGACGGAGTGTTTGCAGCCGGGGACTGCCGTCGGGGCCAGTCCCTCGTGGTATGGGCCATCTCCGAAGGACGGCAAGCAGCTGCTCAGGTTGACAAGTACCTGTCAAAGGAAGAAAAGAACGTTGTTGTAGGTGAAGGAGGGTATGAAGGGGTTGGGACAAGGTCCCAGGATTACAAGAACAACAGGGCACAGGAGAGTACAAGCAGTAGCAGCAGCAGACACACAGTAATGACATAGGCAATGAAGCTTTTGTCAAAACTTCCGTATTCTTATAATGAAGGAAGGAAGGTTGAATAGAGTTTTGGGTGAAGGTTTGATATTTTTGTACTGAATAAAAAAGCCAATTTCAGAGAACCTGAGGCTGGCTGGGGTTGTTGGTTATTTAATATTATATGTCGAGAGGATAAAGGTGGTGAATGAATGAAAGTAATAGTTGCTGACTGTTGTACTACACAGAACATTGGTGGGTGTTTCATCGTCTCCTCATTATATTCATTTTGATAGGCGTTTTAAAAAATTCCGCAAAATGAATGATGATGTACAGTTGGCATAATATTACTGTTTCCTTAAATCTCAGCCGTTCACTTCTCTGCAACCCCACAGATGGCGTCCATCCGAAACACGCTAGCAAATCCAACGGCCCACGTCAAATATTGTTTTAAACAATCATTTGAACTGCCATTTCAATCGTCCCCCTTTCCTTTTCATGGGAATACGGAACTAACTCAGTTTACGAACCGCCATTTCAGAGGGCCGAGAGTTCGTAAACAGAGGCGGCTGAGAAGTAAGCGAAAATGGAGCTTCAAAATTGAATGGTTCTACAATTTGAGAACGAGTGAGATGTCGATTATAGGGCAGAGGAAGTGAGTTGAATTGGGACTGAAGACGGCGAGTGAGATGTCGATTATACAATGGACACGACGGCGCGCAGGTGGCGCACGTGTGCCGCAAGCGATTGCACCGGATTGTGGCGGAGGAGATTGCGGATCGGGGAGAGATGGATGAGGCGAAATGGAGGAGGTTGATGGAGAGGTGGTTGGTTTTAGAGAATGGACGATGAAGTGAACAGTAAGGAGGGAGATGGTGGTGGGCAATTGCGGCGATTGTCGAGCCGTTTTGTCTGACCATCATAAGGTGCACAAATCTAAATTACACTCCTAACCACGTCGTTTGTTAATCATGAAATGGGTATCGAGTTGTTGCAGATCGAATGGTTCCTAATTGTTAATCATGAAATGGTATCGGAAACCAAACAGTTCCTCAACATGATGCAACACATATCTTTCAGCTTCTCTGCATTCATTTTGACTGACTGTGGATAGAGGTAATTCTATGACAATCTAATTCATTTCAAGTCTTCATTCATTCTCTTGTCCAATAATTTATCTAAGGTTGTGGTGGGTAAAGATTTTGATAGAAAAGTTGAATTTGGGAAGGAGTGCATGAGAATTGATGGGGAAGCCAAGCAAGAAGAAAAAGAAATAAAATATTATGGTATGATTGGATGAAGATGAGTTGTGTTCATCCCCAAACAAATTATTGAGCATCATAAAGAAGAAAAAAGGGAGAGAATAGTGAGAAGTATGATGAGGACCACCCAAAAAGCAGAGTAAGGGGCCTTAGAATCTAAGACCCATTTGTTGGGTTTTGGTTCAAAAGATGAATGCTAAATTTCCAAATAATGGGGGCGTGGGGTTTCCATTTTGATGCCCATATTTTATACAACTTTGAATTTTTGGTTCAAAATCGTGGACTTATTAGGCCTTCCCTTCTTACTACTTCAACTCTCTTCTTCGCACTTCAGTTGCCAAATATGACATATTTACCTCCCAACTTGGACTATAATGTTTGGTCTTTTCTGCTCTTTTTTAGCCTTTGCTTATGTTTCCCTTCTTTTTCCATAAACATATCCTTTTAAACAAAAAACTGGTCTTGTTTTAATCCTCTTGTTTTCTAGTAAATCTGAACTTTAAAAAAAAAAAAAAAAAAATACTAGCTCTGCAATATGGCATTAATAAGATGTAAATAGAGTGAGAGAAGAAACAAACACAATAAAACTTACTTGGTTAGATGTTTATAGGTTATTAGGTGTTTGTTTCTAAAATCTGAACAAGAAGATTCCCTTCTCATTCACAGTCACAATAACATTAAACTTCAAAATAATTTAATATCTTTCTAAGCTTTTCATACAAAATAAACCTCCATCATGTAGGATAAGAATTAGAGATGTCCATTTCACTCGTAAAATTAGAGAAGAAGAAAAGAGTTCACCTAATCGGGACTTGACCCTACCCAATAAAAAAAAAAAAATTGGAACCAAAAGAGGAAAAATATGGATCAATTAAAAACCATTTATGTAAAGGATGAATAAAAATTATATGGAAGACTGTGCAGAGAGCAGTGCAACAGAGTGGAACGAAAGAGAAAGAAGACGAGGAGAGTGAGAAGAGAAAAAGAAGAGAACTTCCATTTACAATTCACGCTCCTTCCCTCATCGGAAGTTGTAAAACCCAACTTTGATTTTGTAATAATATTATTGTTCTTCGTCAATTTTAGTGTTCATTTTTCATCTGCTACTCCAACCAGTCCCACTGCCTCTTCATCTATATAAACCCAACCTTTCCGCCCTTCTATCCTCTGCCATTCACGCATACACTGCCTGCAATTTCTCACCACCGGCTTTGGGCTCTCTGATTCTCTCCTCCCGCTCGCTTCGCCATTCTTCGACCCTTCCGTGTAATCTTTCCTTCCCTTTTCTCTTTCCTTTTCAATCTCTTCTTCTTTCTCTGCTCTCTACTTTTGTTTCTGAAATGGGGTATTCGAAACCTTGATCACTGATGTTTGGGTTTTATTCGTTCTCCAGTTTCCATCACAAAGATCTCGACCTGCTCTGCTTTTCTCTGTTCACTCTAATGCTCGTGTCATTTCCTAACCCTGCAGATTTTAAGGAAAAAAACAAAAACAAAATTTGGATGTCTGAACACCTTTTAGAGCTAAAATTAAGCATGAAACTATTGAAGGAAGGACGGAAGAAAGTATTTGGATTTCGCGTATTTTATTGGTCGGTGTGTGTAAGATAGTGATACACGCTTTCTTATTTTGTCCCTTTATGGTTTGTGGTCTTTGTGTTCCATCTTTATTTTCTTGTTGAACCGACTCATAAACAATGGTTCATGCTCGGTATGCTTCGGAAACTGAAAGAACGTGGGGAATCTGAACTTCTTTTTCATTTTAAAAATAAACTTCTCTCATCTTCTTGGACCTTAAAATCCAGTTGAGCTACCTGAATTAATAGAAGGTTCATCATGAACAGTCTGGCTTATGGAAATAGTTCTACTCTGTTTGTACCATTATAATATATCCTTGATTCCACTTCTGAGGTTTACCATGACTTTCATGAGTTCTTTTTTTATACCTATTCTCCATAGGGGTCTGAAGCTCTCTATTCCGATGGATTTCAGTCATATCATTTGCTTATCTTTCTTGATCTGGCTTTGTGAAACTTTATCCTTTGTTCGTGTCACCTTACATGATCTTATAGTAAATTCCAAACCTGGTAGAACTCTAAAAGTTAACGAGAGAGATCATTTTTTTCAGTTTTTTTTTCTGTGATCAAAAGCTTTGCATTGTACACTGTGGAAAAAGCTGCGTGACTGTGCTTATTGAGTTGTGATCTAAGTTACTGTAAATCCACTTCCTATACAACTTGCTGATGCTTATTTGTTTCTGCTGATGATTATTCCTCGATCTTATTTTGATGGGATTTCTTGTTATACATTTTGTCTTTTCTTGATGGTATTTAACAAAGCATGTTAGTGGGTGACATGTATTTGTCCAAAAGCCAAAAAACTTATATAGTCATAACGAAGCTATAGGTTTGATAATTTCATTTGTCCACTGGTGACTTCAATTTCTTCCTTGGAAATCTTGAATCTGCAGAAAGTAAAGATGCAAATGCTTACAAAATGTATAATCTATTACTTTCCCACGACTTATGTATGGTAGAAGAGCATGAGTCACTCAAAAGATGTCTCTTGTATACATATCTTCTTTCTCCAACTTTATGATGATGTGCTATTCTTGATGTTCCAGAGGCTGGAGACTGAACAAAAAACAATAATACATGGAGGACGTCACAGGAAGAAGTTTGGAATGCCAGACAATTATGGATGGGAAGGCGACTAACGGGAATGGCTTAGATAAGGCCATTCCTTCTTGTTGTTTGAAGGCTAAGGCGTCAGATCCTGAGCTTGAGGCTCAATGCCATTCAACTGTTGTTTCTGGCTGGATTTCAGAATTCCAGTCTGGCTCTGGTCATTCTCCTTTTCTTTAATCTCCTCGTGAAGCTCTTGGTTCTGTTTTAGAAACCGTGGCTCACCATGTGGGTAATTAACATCAGTTGCGCTCGTTTCCTTTGCAGATAAAGCTAGCAAGTTTGTTTATTTCAACAACCCAATGTGGCCGGGTGAGTGCTTTTCTTGTATTTCTTGTTAATGGTCTCTTTTTCATGCTGAGGGAGTTCATTTTACTTTCATTCTTTACTAGGAGTTGAATGTTCATATAAACGCTCACGACTTTCTGCAACATCAAAACTTTTTGACGTATATTTGATTGCACTAGTGTTACATAAGCCACGCGTCAAATGTCTGCATTTGACAAGCTAATGTTATTATTGTCAACCTTTCAGGAGAAGCACATTCTCTGCAAGTAGAGAATATACTATTTAAAGGAAAGTCAGAGTACCAAGAGGTCATGGTTTTTGAGGTACCATTCGCTGAGACAATGGTTTTACCTTCGCAATTCATTTGCTTGGTTTCTTGAGATTAATACTTTACTTGTTTGTCTCTATTTGTTTACAGTCTGCATCATATGGAAAAGTCCTTGTTCTTGATGGCATTGTTCAACTGACAGAGAAAGATGAATGTGCCTACCAGGAAATGATAGCGCATCTTCCTCTTTGTTCGATCCCGTTTCCTAAAACCGTTAGTCCTCCCAAAAATTTGATTCTGTGCCAATTCCATCTCTTATTAAGAAATTTTCTTTTTCTCTTCCAACTTTTGCATAATTTTAAGACATAAAATGACATTATTTAGGTTCTGGTTGTTGGCGGAGGTGATGGCGGAGTCCTGAGGGAAATTTCTCGTCACGACTCAGTGGAGCACATCGACATTTGTGAGATAGATGAGATGGTCATTAATGTAAGTGTTCATTAGAGACATGTTGCGAATTGTATGATAAGTTCATAATGAAACAACTTGCTGCTGTGGTATGTTTCAAGATTGTGACCTAATGCTTCATTTCCCTGCTTTCTTAATTCCTAGGTGTCAAAACAATTTTTCCCCCAACTAGCTGTTGGATTCGAGGACCCTCGTGTTCACCTTCATGTTGGTGATGGTGCGTCGAAAGTCGAGACATCTTATTCCTTTTTTTGTTTCTTATGCTCTTTCCTATATAATTTGCATCTTTGTAATATCAGCTGTTGAATTTCTTCGGAATGCAAAGCAAGGGAAGTATGATGCCGTCATTGTTGATTCCTCTGATCCTGTGGGTAAGTTAATGATTTGTAACAGAGAAGAATAAAAAAAAAATGGTGCAACAATGCAAGCTACATATCTTTTCGTTCAACAATTAGAACCTTAAATTTATGTTCTCTTTTGAAAGACTTGTGCTCGTAAACTCATCTTCTAACCGGGGGTTCTTGTAATAAAGGTCCTGCCCAAGAACTGGTGGAGATGCCATTTTTTCAGACGATAGCCCGAGCATTGCGACCCGGTGGTGTTCTCTGTAACATGGCTGAAAGTATGTGGCTGCATACACATCTCATTCAGGACATGATATCAATATGTCGCCAAACATTCAAGGATGTTCACTATGCCTGGACCAGTGTTCCAACATATCCAAGTGGTGTTATAGGGTTTCTACTCTGCTCAACTGAAGGGCCAACAGTTGATTTTAGGAACCCTGTGAATCCCATTGAGAAGTTAGGACATCTCAAGTCAAAAAGAGAACTCAAATTCTACAACTCTGAGGTAACCACACAAAAGCTCTTTAACTTAACTAAGATTCGATACAATGTCGATGTAGAGATACATCCATCGACACACTATATGGATTAAAACTTCGATTACACCGTGCATTGATACTAATAATGGTTGACATTCCAACAGATGCACTTGGCTGCATTTGCGCTGCCATCGTTTCTCAAGAGCGAGGTGAAGGCACTTAGTGATGCTTCAGCTTCACTTAAAAAGGGAAGCATTTCATCCTAAGTTGGTGACTGTTTGAAATGCTTCTTCCAAGGTGGTGGTGGGCACTAGTGTTGAGTGTATACATAAAATTATTGGAGTGGCTGAAACATCTCTACTGTGTGCTGAGGGAGGGCATCGTTAATGATATTATTTAACAAGTTCAGGTTTGTTATCCTAGTAGAAGAAAAGTGTTTAGCTGTTTTTGTTGTTTTTCCATGGCTGATTGGTATGCCAATTAGCCGATAAATAAAGAAAAACAAGAAAGAAACCACTTCCTAATTAATAAAAATGGGGAATTTATATAACAATGATTCCAGGGCTTGGTTCTACTAATAATCTTCTATGCTACCTCAATCTGTTAACGATGAGCATAATTCAGTAGCTAAAACATAAAATACAAACTATAAAGCATATTCAAGATCTAACTACAACCACAATGTGCACCTGGAAAGGAGAAGAGTTACTGCAGTGAAGGAAATGCTCTTAAACGTTGCTATTTTCTGATGATATCAATCCAATCCATGTGTACCACCCGACAATCCTGTAGTATATTACAGAAAGTTTCATGAGCTGAAAACTGATCTAAGCGTTCATACATTGTTCCACAGTCTATCTCTGATTGGTCCAACTAAAAGTATTGCCAGAATAATCAACAAGGATTATTCTCCCTCCTTCCTCCGCCTCCCCTACAGAGTATACTTTTAGACTCATACGCAATGAATTGAAAATGAAGGATAATCTTGAGTGTATATTATATATATACATACATATGTATATATAATAGTATAGTACCCATAAAGAAAGCAGTGTCGTGGAAGAGTTCCTACAGTGAAAGAAATCTTCTCAGATGTTGCTATGTTTTGGGAAGACAAGAAAGAAATCTTCTCAGATGTTGCTATGCTTTAAAGCGAAGACAATAAATAAAGAAAAACAAGAAAGGGAAGAGTTCCTACACTTAAAAAGGGAAGCAAGTCATTGTTGTTGCTGGTTCCCGGCATATCACTGCTTGCATTTCTTCTTTTTTGTCTTCGCTTTAAAGCATTTAATGCACGAGCAATGAATCTAGAGGCATGAATGGTTGTGGTGACTGAAGGCTGTGAATTCCCACTTTCAGTGGCTAAGCTTAACTGAGATTTCTCTCTTTCACGCTTACTCTTGAAGTAACGACGCCATGCAGCTTGCACCACAAGAGCAGCCAATGGCGCCCATCGCTCTTTAAAGTTGGGATCGTTTCCATGCTCTTGACTGATAAGCCACCAAAATTTAGAGACCACATTCTTCAAATCATGTGCACTTAAAACAAATGCTTCCACTTTGGTGTGTGTAGAGACAGTTTTTGTGGAGATGGGGACAGTGGATAAAAGTGGATCTTTCAATACCCATTTTAAAAGCTCTTCTCCAAACACATCGCCTTTTTTAAGGCTCTCAGACGAACCAAATGTTTCACCATCTCTATTGGAGTTGGAATAGATCCATAACTTGCCATGGATTATGAAGATCATCTCATCTAATGGCTCTCCTTCTCGAACGATGAAGTTACGCTCAATGTATAGCATCGGCTTCAAAAAACCACAAACTGCATCCAAGAACTTCTCGTCCATGTTTTGAAACATTGAAACCTTTACCGTATGCAAGAAGAATAACATGAAGTGAAGTGAAATACAACTGTAACAGCCTAAGGGTACCGCAAGCAGATATTGTCCTCTTTGGGGTTTCTCTTTTGGGCTCCCCTCAAAGTTTTAAAATGCCTCTATCAAGGAGAGGTTACCACACTCTTATGAGGAATGCTTCGTTCTCCTCTCCAACCAATGTGGGATATCACGATCCACTCCTTTGGGAGCCCAACCTCTCCCTGGCAGTACCATTTGTAACAGCCCAAGCCTACTCTTAGCAGATATTATCCTCTTTGGCTTTCCCTTTTGGGATTCCCCTCAAGGTTTTTAAAATGCGATTGCTAAGGAGAGGTTTCCACACTACACCTTTATAAGAAATGCGGAATGCTTCGTTCCCTCTCCAACCAATGTGGGATCTCACAACAACACACCATGAACGAAAACAGAAGAACAGAAACTTACACTTTTGATTGCACTTAAGCAAAGGTGTCTTGTTGTATCCCTTCTAAGGTCTCTAGGAAGATTATGGAGAATGTTTGCAACATCAACACCTCTAGTTTTCCGCCATTTATACTTCTCATATAGTTTGATCCGCTTCCTTAGATCACGAGGGAGTGAATGGTAGGCCATCCATAGTTCAATATCTTGCCCCTTCAATCTCATTTCCTCCAGTCTCGCAATTGTTGACTGCAGAAATGTCTGTTTCACAACCAAATTCCCATGTCAAGGTGTCACCGGAGTTGGCCTTAACCATGTAATTATGCTACATGAATATTAATTGGCACTGACCTGCAGATTTCCTATTAGAAGTGCAAATAGTACCAAGCCAGCAATGGTTATGGAGACTGCGAAGTAAATTTCCCATATATGCTTACTAGTTCTGAGGCCTTGACCCAGAGAACTGAAAAATGTTGAAGCAGTGAAATACGTTAACATAGAGTATGGATAGAGGAGTAATACCAAATGCATAGGCTTTTGAGTACAGACCTTAGATTTTGCAGACCCCACCAATAACAATAAGAGACTTTCCATATGAAATCAGTGGAATTGACAACGTCATACTTAAAGGCATCATCAAATATTCCGAAATTGAAAGGTAGTGTGTCATTTGATGATGCTTTTCTAGAGCAATTATCTAAGCACGATCCCTCCTCAGTGATGTTATACTTCCGAGGGCAATATGGATGGCTATGACACCTTGACTGCAAGCAAGTTGCTTTGCGCTCAATAGAAAACAAGTACCAAAAGGCTCCAAACACCTACAAGAACCACATAGATACTGAATTATGCTAAGATATTGGCAAACAAAAAGCATAGAAGCTCTGAATCATCCATTGAAAAAGGTTGCTGGTTTGTAATTCACAAAGATTGAGTAGTGAATGAACTTACATGACTGGCAAGCATATAGAGGAAGAGATTGAATATAGCTTTGGCCGCAGCAGAATCAGGCAAAATCCCAGAACTCCATCTCACTTTCTTTAAGAATAAGTACACTCGAAACACCCTTGGCAAATATTGAATGATAAGAACAAATTTCAATGTCCTAATAGAGATTGTAAAATGAGAACCTTTTGCTGCTTGAGCAGCTAATACTATCACCACCTGCACACAAGTTTGCTCACAAATCATTATAAGGTAACATACATGTAGTTTTAATTGTCCAAATTGTGTAGGTGGGCAGAGACTAAAAGTCCAAACCTGTGGAAGAGGAAGAGCAGCAAGAATGTCCACTGTAAGGTAAGATAAAAGATATCTCCTAGCTGTTGCTATTGTGGAAAGTGTTCCGTTATTAGCATCCTTCGAGTCAGTATAACCGATACGAAAATGAAAGACAATGAGAAGTATGTAGCCAAAATCAATGAGCGAACGTAGAACTACGGCTGTGATCCTCAACTTCTTGTCAAAGCGTATGCAATTTTTTTCATTATCAACCACTAAGATGTAACAGAACAAAGGGTCCAGTAAGGCTGCAATTACACACAACATCACAAGTACATCATTCCACAGATGAAGGAATATCCAGTTTCCTTCAATAGACCTTTTTATGGAGCTCAACCCTTTACTCTTGACCTCTTCCTTAAAATGAATGTTTCCAAAACTGGTAAGTGTATCAGAAGAAGACTCAAATCTTCTTGGAACCGCTCCCACCGTACCCGTGGAGTTCTCTGAGCGTATGTCCACAGGGGAGGAAGTCTGAATCCTAAACAAACGTAAGTAAACTCAGCACATATCAATGTCCTGTCTAGAAAGTGTTAGAAACCACGAACCTCATAATTGTATGATATTTCCACTTTGAGCATAAACTCTCGTGGCTTTGCTTTTGGTTTCCCCAAAAGGCCTCATACCAATGGAAATGTATTTCGTACTTATGAACCCATGATCAACCCTTAATTAGCCGAGGTGGGATTCCTCTCCCAACCATCCTCAACAAAGGTAAGCTCAAGAAATTCACAGACCAAGTGGATGGCACAAAGAGTTCAGACACTGAAAGTATATAGGGAAACGCAAATTTGGGTAGTTGCCTTTTCCCTTTCAGATTCAAAAGAGAATATCTAACATCCTTTTGTTGAAAATTGTAGTGGAAAAACGTGTCATCCTCCCACAAGGGAACATTAAAAAGAAATTTTTTTTGAAAATGAGGGCAATCATTTCACGAGAAACTAAGGGTACCCCAGATGTAGAATCAAACATTGGAAGCATATATACTTGCTACATAAAGATGCTAAGAATGGAGCTTCAAAAAGGGAAAAAGAAGAAGCAAGAAAGAAAGAAAGAACTAACCGTATGGCAGCATCTTCTCCATTCATAGCGGCCTCTTTCTTGCCAGAAACAGGATGAATATCTTTCCAACAGCAACCGCGGTGGCTGAAGCTTATAGATAGCTTCATCCGCCATTAAACGGGCCCCCCTCGATTGGTTGTTATGTGTCAAGGCAACCCATTTCCTGGTGGACCATTCATAGAACATTCACACGGAGAGCTGGCGTCTACACTTGTAAGTCAATTCAGGGTTGACTTAGAAAGAAAAATATGTGGTTTTCCATGAACCTAACATTAATTAAGGGTATGTATAAATCAATATCATTCATCATGGAGCACCGACAAAGCATGCCCTCACTCTCACTCGCTCTCTCTTTGCTGATGACAATTATTTTTTCTCTACCTTTTTATTTTCTCTTGTGCCCGTCCCTTATCTCTAGCTCTTCTTATCGCGACTTAGTCTCTTCGTCACCAAGTGCTTTTAATGATTCATTTAGGTCTTTTACTTAAAAGAATGCGTTGAGAATTGTTGGGAAAGAGGCTCACGTCAACTAATTAAGGAAATGATCATGAGTTTACTAGTAAGAGATATATCTTACCATTGAGGATGGTCGTAATTCCTAACAGAAGGTGGTTTTAAATCTTTTCAAGTTAGTAGATGAGCAATATACTAGAAAATTAAAACGAGGAAAGATCTGAATAGATGGTTATTACCCACCATGAAATTGACAAATGTTTGATCGTAATTCTATTTTTTCCCCTCTAATGGTTCGAGAAAAAAAAAAAAAACTTTTGGAACCTGTATTTTGCTCCTAGATATGAAATTGAGAAATATTGACCATACTCAATTTTGTCACCACGTCTTATTTTAAGGATTGAATATCAAGAGAAAAATAGTTGAAAAAGTCCCACAAACCCAATGTGGGACTCCAAGGATTGCTCTGCATGGAGCTGAATTATTGTTAGTTTAATTTATATTCTCTAACATCTTCAACCAGCATTAGACTTTATATAGCTCAGTTTTTAGATGGATACAACTATTCAACACATATTTTGGCAGACAAATAAAGCATGACGACGACGAACAAGTAACCGTGAAGCAGGGATCTCAAGCTGGACAGTGTAATGAACATACAGAGGAAGCGATCACTAATAAAAATACAAAGAAAGCTAAATAGAACTAACCATACTACATTTCTCAAACTCTGCTAGATTCTGCTTCTGATTTTTTGCGCTTTAGCTTTAAAGCCCGAAGAGCACGAACAATATGTGTAGAGGCAGTAAATGGGGCATCTGATTTCTGAGTATTAATCCTTCCTTCAATGCCTAACCGAGACTTATTCTTCTCCACTTTGCTTTTACGGTAACGCCGCCATGCTACCTGCAAAGCTAAAGCCGCCCACGGTTCCCATATTGCTTTCAAACTTGGAGAGTTTCTGCTGAAAAGCCACCAAAATTTTGAGACCACTGTCTTTAAATCGTTTGCAATGAGGATAAATGCTTCGACTTTCGAGTGTGCTCGAAGCGTTTTGGTAGATATGGGGACGGTTGTTGAAGTAGGATGGTGTAGCGCCCACTCTAGAAGAGCCTCTCCATAAAAGTCACCTTTGGTAAGGCAATTGAAAAGTGAGGAACTAGCTGCAATGCCATTATCGCTTTTGGAATATATCCTTACTTGGCCTCGAATTATGAAGACCATTTCATCCAATGGCTCTCCTTCTTGAATAATGAGGCTACGCTCAATGTACAGCACTGGTCTCAAACAATCACATATAGCATTGAGTAGCTTATCGTCCATGTTTTGAAACTTTGGGACCTTGATGAGCACATATTATCAACCATAAGAAGAGAAGCGCGACAACATGAATGGATGCTATATACAAAAAGTAATATCATTGGTAAACTTGCTCAAAACTGCTTACACTTTTGAGTGGAGTCGAGCAAAGATGTCGTTTTGTGTCCCTTCTTAGGTCCCTAGGAAGATTATGAAGAAGTAGCTCCACATCAACACCTTTGGTTTCTCGCCACTTGTACCGTTCGTACTTTTTAATTCTCTTCTTCAACTTTCTAGGGAGGGAATGGAAAGCCATCCATAGCTCAATATCTTGCCCCTTCAATCTCATTTCCTCCAATCTTGCAATGGTTGACTGTAGATATGTCTGTTACACAATAAAATAGCTCATCAGATTAGATAATGTTGAGGCATCATTTGAACAATCGTTTGCTATGCGTCACGGTCAAGCTTGTACAAGGCATGTTGTCTATGGTCGCATGTCAGATGTCCCAGTCATGCTTGTCCATGATGTGTTCTCTATGGCCACATGCCCGTTCCAAACCCCTTTTACATGCTTTCATCTTAGATAGGTCTTTACTATTTCACATGGTGTCAAAATGGGGGTGTATGACCGTTCACAAAATCATGTCAACACTCGCCAAGGCTAAAACGCCCCAAAATATACTCTAGGGGGATGTGACTAGTTGTCAATTCTTCCTACCTGGATTATATGCTATCAAAGCCGTTGTTGTTGCTTACTGGCTTTTAGCTTATAACATTGATTTCTTTAAAATTGTTTTCAACGTATTTCCTCGCTCATGTTTTCTAAATCATTTCTCTCAAATGTGACCCGAGGCTCAAGTATACACCGATATTATCCGCAAATTGCAAATTTCACACAGCTGACTTGTTCACTAGGTTAGAACAAATGTTACACAATCGTTGTCCCATTGCCACAAGAGTGCGATTGTAACACTAGATCAACGAGTTTGAAGTAAACTTAACTACTGACCTGCAAATTTCCAACAAGAAGCGCAAATAGTATCAACCCAGAAATGGTAATGGTGACTGCAAAGTAGATTTCCCACAAATGGTCACTAGTTTTGAGGTCTTGTCCCAATGAGCTGCAACATATTAAATCTATAAGTGTCAAAAGCAAGATCCTAAAAGCCTAAGATGCATTTCAGTTAATGAAGTAATGTAGTTTTTCTATTGCAATCCATCCAGATATCATAATCACTCATCAGAATCTAGCAGATAGGTACTTTGTCCCGAATTACGACGTGAAGTTTCCGAGCCGTAAAGTCCTTAGAAAGTTTATGAGATGATCCATGACAAATCAATAACTTTAATATAGACAATGAGTTATAGTTTGGTAAAAGTAAATCCAAAAAGAAAAAACTCAGACGAACCTCAATTTCTGCAGACCCCACCAATAACAGAAAGAAATTTTCCTCATGAAATTCCTTGATTTCACAATACGAAGACCAACTTCGAACATTCCAAAATCAAAAGTTTGAGACTCATTTCCAGCTTTTCCAGAGCAAAAACTGTCAGCACTCGAATTGCCGTTTGTAACGTAGTCACAGTTTAGAGGGCAATGTACACACCTTTCTACCCAGCAAACTGTTTTTCTCTCTATAGTGAACAAGTACCAAAATGCTCCAATAACCTAATAGAGCAATATAATTATATGCTTATTAGAAGAAAGCACACCAGAGAAGTGTTGCTATAACTAACACTTCAAAAGGAACACAAGTGAGAATCAACGCACATGGCTTGCAAGCATATAAAGGAAGAGATTGAATGCAGCTTTAGCCCCAGCAGTTTCTGGGAGAATGTTAGAACTCCATCTAACTTTCTTTAAGAACGAGTAGATTCGAAAGACCCTCGGCAAATATTGAACGACGAGAATATATTTCAGCGACCTCACTGCATATATAAATCCGTGTCCTTTGAGGCTTGGAATGAGTATTAAACTCACCACCTACCCCGACCATTTTTCACATGCATCACAACAATATCAGTAGCCAAAAAATCAGGAATATAATCATGTTCTTGTGCAAATTTGAGATATAATTTTGATAGAATCTATGTGTACAGAGGGTGAAGCTTCATACCTGGGGGAGTGGAAGAACTGCGAGAACATCAACAGTGAAGTAGGATAAAAGAAATCTCCATGCTCTTGTGCAAACACCATCATCAGGATCGTCACTATTTGCATTATAAAATGAGGAATATCCAAGATGAAAATGACAGACAATAAGAATTATGTAGAGTAAGTCTGTGATTGAGCGAAGAATTACAGCTACTTTCCTCAACTTCTTGTCAAATCCGACACATCTTTCGTCATCATCAACCACCAGGATGTAACAGAACAAAGGATCCAAAGAGGTAGCAATCACACACAACATGACAAGTATTTCATTCCACAAATGAAGGAGTAGTGGGTTTTTATCAAAAATACTTTTGATATATCCCAACCCTTTACTCCTAATTTCTTGTTCGAAATATATGTTTCCAAAACTCGTAAGCCTGTCAAAACTAGAGGAAAAGCTTGCTGAAACCGATCTTATTGATCTCAGGGAGTACCGTGGGTGTGTTTCTCCAGCTGATGGATGTTCCTTTTGATGAAAACCGTCTGTAGCCCTGGACAGGGGGCAGAGCAAGTGCAACAAATAAACCGACAGATACATCTACTATTTGATTACGAGATCATGAACAAAACAAAAGAAACCATGTTAAATCCTCTTTAGATTTTCCCTTCCCGACTTCTCCTTAACGTTTTAAAACGTGTCTAGTAGAGAGAGGTTTCTAATTCTTGTAAGAAATCTCCTCTTCAACCGATGTGGGATCTCACAATCCACCTCCTTGGGGGCCAGTGAAGGAGGCTAGTGTCCTCGCTGACACACTGCCCGATGTCTGACTCTGATACTATTTGTAACAGCTCGAGCCCACCGCTAATAGATATTGTACTCTTTAAGCTTTTCCTTTCGAGATTTCTCTCCAAATTATTAAAACGTGTCTATTAAGAAAAGTTTTCAACTCTTATAAAGAATGCCCTTTCCCACGACCATCAACTATTAAAAGTAAAAAAAATAAAAAAAATAAAAAGAAAGGAACATAGGTGACCGATGAAAGTAGCTTTTCCTGAGTTGAAAGGATTGAAAAAGTGACCCAATGAATGTTAAAGGAAACAAATGAGGGAGAAAACAACCCAACTTCGTTTTTTGTTTCGAAATATTAAACAATTGTTGTTGTGGAATTAACTCCTGAACCTACTTCCAGCACACAAAAAGCTCACAAACTCCTGAAATTTGTTAGAACTACACGGCTAAAGCTTAGAGTAATTTTGTGGATCTGTCGCAATTATGAAGTAGAAAACGTAAAAACACTTGAAGAAACTATAATAATCCCAAGAACTTGGGAAGGAAGGCAGTAGAGCAGAGAGAAAGAACAGTAAGTTCTGCCTTTTACTTTTTGACTCCTTACCAGTTACCAGCTCCCCAAATGATCCAAACTCAAATTGAGTGAACATCACAAGTGGGTTCAGTCCCTTGTAGTTGATTCACTAATTAGCACCCATATTACATCCCCCCAACCCCACAATCACAGTTATGCAAGAGGCAGAATAAAAATGCGTCGTAGAATCCAACATGAACAGAACGAGTAGAATGAGTAGAGCTTACTTCTGTACTTCCATGGCTGATTGAGTGAGAAACAAATGATGGAGCTCACATGTAGGACCAAAAAATGAAAGAAGCTTATATAGAGATGTTGGCGGGAAGGCAATTTAAAGCTTTCGCCGGTAGTGAGGTCACAAACTTCCAGTTGTGGAAGGAGGTTTGAGCCGCCATAATCAACCAAATAAAGGAACGATGATGAATCAGCACAGGAAGAAACATAAATGCTTTTAATCAAACCAATAGTCGATGATGAATGGGACCGCTGCCTAAGATAAAAGAGAAATAAAAGATTCCTTTTTGTGTTTGCATTTTTCAAATACATGACAAAAATGAAAGCAAAAAGAAAGGCTTTCATTTTATTCACAAAATTTGACTTTTAATTTTGTATAAATTATAGATAGAACATATGATTTCAAAATTAGTACATGGTTGTTGGGAAAAAAGTAAGTAAATTATTTTCTCACATCCACACTTTAATGAGTTAATATAGAAATATAATTTATTTTATTAAAAAAAAGTAACATAGATGTTGAGTTTGAGTGGATGGTTGTAGCTTGAAAATCTATATTATAAAGAAAGAAGTAAGAGATAATGATGAAGACATAAACCAAGGGATTTTATTTTTTTATTAATTAACCATAGAGTAATACAAAATTAAATAGTAAAGCCAAAAGGGTTTTAGTTTAATTTAGTTTATTTTTATTTTGAATAGAGTAAAGTAGTGGAAATTCCACAACAAAATAGTAATTAACTCCATCCATCCACCCACTCCATTACTAATTGAATTTAAGATCCTTAAAGGTCCTACAATTTTAATTTTGGAGTGGAGCAACGTGATTCATTCAATCCATTCGCAATTTCAAATCCATTCGCAATTTCAAATCCATTCGCAATTTCAAATTCGCGTGGTTAGTGGTTCTCACTCAACTTCGAGTTTTTCACTCCAAAAATAAAATTTGTTCATAAGCTAAAAAAAACGAGGTGATTGAATGTAAGATAAAAGTGGAATGCAACGATATCATCACTTAAAAAGAAACGGACAGGGATTTAAGACAAGAGCTAACTAAGATAACAACGATGACTTTGAAATGAAAATCCAGCCACATACAAAAAGGTGTTAGGGGAGGCTTCATATGATATTTGGAAAATGGGTTTTGATCATTACAAAATGAATGGAAGATGTTCAAAATGAAGTCATAAACAACAAACGCAAGTATCATCTTTTTAACAGTATGGTTAAGAGTTATTGTCTTCCAAGCTAAAATCACCCTCTGCTGGCTTCTGAAGCAGCATGGACATCCTAGCTTTCCTACAACTGTTTCGCCTCCTCGCCCGAAGCATGTTGGCTGCAAATCTAGATGCATAAATGGTGGCGCCTAAACTCGGTGACCGCTCGTCGATGGAAGCCAGTACGACTTTCAACCTACTCTCTTCTTCCTTCACACACTCCCTGAGCTTCTTTCTTTGATGCCACCTCCATGCTGCTTGTAAGAAACAAGCTGCCCAGGTTCTCCATTGCTGTGAGTAAAATCTGAAAATCTGGCGCAGCTGCTTGCTGTGAAGCCTACGGTATTGAGTGGCTACAATTTTCAAGTCGTCGGGTTTAAAGGCAAATGCTTCGACTTCTGTGAGCGACCGAACGGTTCGAGTTGAAATGGGGAGATTGGTTGAGGAATGAGGGTCTAGACCCCAAGTCAGTAACTCTTCTCCACAGAAATCACCAGCCATGAGGATATCAGAGTTGAAGAAACCAGTTCTCCCTCCATTTGTAGTCGTGGTTAAGAGCTTGCCTCGCATGATGAAGAGCATCTCATCGACTGGATCGCCTTCCCGAACAATGCAGCTTTCTTCTGTGTACAACACGGGCTTTAGACGTGCACACATTGCATCCAACAATTGGTCATCCATCTTTTCAAACATTGGAACCTTAATGGAAAATGTACATAAATCATCAGAATCAATTAAAAAAGTTAAGCTTGCAATAAGTGTGTAACCGAGCTAGTGATCGTTTATGACCGTTGTCTATCCATCTTTTCCTACGGTGGATGCTTAACCAAGCTAGTATTTCTCCAAAAGTGATCATAGAACAAAACAAAAGAAAACTCACTCGCATAAGCAAAACCAAGCAAAGATGGCGCTTAATATCTCTATGGAGGTCTTTAGGCAGATTATGCAGCAGATTATGTTCATCAGCGCCTCTGGTATCCTGCCACATGTAATGTTCATACCTTCGAACTCGCTCCCTTATATTCTCCGGGAGTAAACGATGTGACATCCATTGTTCGACATCTCTCCTTCTCACTCTCATCTCCTCCACCCTTGTCTTTGTGGATCGCCAACACATCTGCTCGAAAGCAAGTTTCACACAGAGAGACTTCTCGTTCTAAGAAGGAATTGCACAAGATTTCATACATAACAATGTAAAATATGTATCAAACACTGCATAGGCTTATATAACAAGTACATCTATGTTGCTCAACAGTTCATAATTCATGTAAAGAAAAGCGATTCTATGGCAGCCAAAGATGAGTAACAAGCAGCAAGAATAGGCTGTACCAACCTGCAGGTTGCCAAGGAGAGACGCAAACAACACTAGGCCAGAGATGCAAATCAAAATGGCAAAGCAGTTTTCCCATTTGCAAGTACTTGTAGTGAGATTTTGACCCAAAGCGCTGCATCCAAGAGAGAAGTACATGTGTCCAGAAAACTACTTCAACACTAAATGGAAAAATTAGTATGCAAAAACTACTAAATTGAGTGAACTTTTATGTGAGCTCTAATCATTTAGCATAACTTTCATCTGCTATCTAAGCCAATTGAATCAAGAGCAGCTTAGACAAGCACAAAATTGTATAAAACTCAGGGCAGCCTGCAGTGGACTAGGTACAAGGTAGGCACAACTATAAGCCCAAGACCTTCAACTAAAAAAGTATACAGAGAAAGCAACAGGAATCACGTAATATGAATATAAAAACACGTTCCCGAGGATGTTCGTAAATTTATAGCAGATCTCTCAATCAGAAAGAGTAACCAAGAAGGACAGTGGACAGCATACCTTAGATTCCTTAAGCCCCACCAAAAGCAGTGAAGAAACTTCTTGGGAAAGTGTGATTCCCCAATATCAGATTGAAGGGCTTGAAGGAATATTCCAAAGTTAAAGATTCCTACATTTGGCTTTTCGATTGGACAAGAAGCATTGAGGAATAGGTTTCCTTCATGACTGTAATTGTAGCCACAATACAAGGAAGTAAGGTTACAGCCAGGATGTTTGCTACAAGCATCATGCCAGCATTGGGCTTCTCGTTCTACGGAACATAAGTACCAGATTGACCCAAATACCTAGGAACAAAAACACACAAAGAAGATAAGAAAAATGTCACTGCAACACAGGGATGAACTAAAGGTGTGAATATAATTAGTAAAAATACTATAGTTCATTTAGCACACTCGAGGTCAAGGAATCTGTAACAGCCCAAGTCCAGGTTTCCTCTCAAGGTTTTTAAAAGGTACATGCTAGGGAGAGGTTTCCACACCCTTATAAAGAATGCTTCGTTCTCCTCTCCAACCGATGTGGGATCTCACATAATCAAATGCAAATGGTAGCATGCACAACTATTCCTCTACTTTGGCTATTTCTTTTTCAAATAAACCCAAGATTCCATGAAAACATTCCATTAAGCACCCAAGGAGCAGAGGAGAAAACTAACATGACTGGCTAGCATGTAGAGAAAGAGATTAAATGCAGCTCCTGCCCAAGCTGTTTCAATGAGTATGCCAGAGGTCCTTGTAACTTCTTTATACAGAGGATAGATTCGAAGAAACCTTGGCACAAATTGACATAATACAGCAAGTTTCAGCAAGTTCTCTGTATTCCACGATCTCAAACCTCTAATTTTATGGATGTTTATCAGAATCATCACCTAGGCACATTAAAAAAAATAAAATAAAGCAGGACAGTTCACGTATCAAAATCGAAGAGCTGAACATTGCACTAGCAACCTTGAAATAAGTGGAACCACAATTCCTACAACTTTCCAATAAAACTTGTTGTTTACACAGAACTAAAAATACAAGTAATAATGAATTGATGCTGAATCATTGCAATTAGCGTTCGAAAACTAGGACCTGACAATTTGTTTAAACCATTTTATGATAGAAAAGGGAAAAATGATGGAATCAAACAGATGCATGAATGAAGAATTCCCTTGGCAAAAGCTACTGACAAATTAACAGTAGAGTAGGCGTACTCTTGTGTCCCAAGAAACATTCCTCACCTGTGGAAGTGGGAGGACTGAGAATATGTCAATTAGAAAGTATGATGACAGATACCTCATTGCTATTGCCCAAGAATCTTCTATTAAAACACCTCTTCCAAACACTCGGGAAGAGGGAGCGATAAATCCTGTACGAAACTGAAAAACGATATGCACGACATAGAATAAATCTGTAAACAATCGCAATATACAGGCTACAGTCTCCACTTTCTCATCTAACCTAAGACACTTGTTTCTATTATCAATCACAGGAACATAAAAGAACAGAGGATCCAATGAAACAGCAACCACACAAGACAGCACAAATATCTTGTTCCAACTTTGAAGAAAAGGCCCTTGTGGATCAAGAATTCTCTTCCCGGAGCGCAAGCCTTGCGGCATGAGATTATTACAAGAAGAAGATTTCAATGACTTCTCAATTCCTCTAATTCCATGAGAACTAGATGCCAACCCTCTGAGGAGAGCTGAGTTCATTTACTCATCCACTACGAAACTCCACTCCACCAGTTTTCTTTGGCCTTGGATCTTGAAACCTGACCAGTAGCAAATTGATTAAAAATCAGGATGATCAAGGTCAGATCCAAGTAACCCAATAGTTGAAAAGATTGAAAACGTGAAATCAGATTTCGCTACCCTCAATAAAGCTATGAGCATCAACTTCATCAAAATCATAAACATGCACTCAAACCAGCTCATAAAAACAAGCACACAATCAAAAAGGGGCAGACAAAATTCAGTAACCCAATAAGAATCCAGTTGGATAAGGAGGTTTCTGAGTCTCATAGACATCCATACCAAGTCGTCTGCATAAAAGCATAAACTCCACTGCTTACATCATATTATAAAAAGCAATAGAAAACCACAAAATCACACAAAGGAAACTCAGGAAGATTTTCCACAGTAACAGTAAGATCACCAGGCATCTAATTCAAAACCAACTTCAAAAATCAAAACGACAAAACAAAAAGGAAATAATCAGAACAAAAACTCATTACCCAAATGAGGGAAGTTCGTGAGGCACGAAAAATCAACCATACCCACCAAAGGGAACAGTAAGAAATTAAAGAAAACGCCCACTCTCTCGTTGAAGTTCTTGTTGTTGTTCGTAGAACCCAGAAACAAGGTATAAAACTTCCATGGAAAGTCCGAGCTGCCATTATGAATGAAAAAATATTCTTCAGAAAATTGACTACTCAACCCAAAGAGGGTGTGACTGTGAGATGATCGGAAATGAGAAATGGGGTGCAATTGGGTCCCGCGGCTAAGGTCGGAGAAGGTGGGTTTGGGGAGCTTTGACTTCGTATTCTTCGGATTTGTCAACGTGAGAGACGACATGAAAGTGCCTGACGTCAACAAAAATATTGTATTTATTTTGTTCCCAAACGATACGTCGGTTTTTCTTTTATGGTAAACGACAAGCTTCCCGCGTCCCAAATCCTATGAATGCTTCTCCTCAAAATATATATATATATATATATATTGTGTTTAAACCTTTAAAAGTTATATATATATATATATACATAACCTTAAAAAATAAAATTTGAAAATATAACCCTCATTTAAACTATACTCCCATTAGTATTTTAAGTTAGACTTTTGGTATCTTAGAAAATGACATGGATTAACACTAAAATAGATGATAATTAGTATTTTATTCATGGTATTCATTGTGATAGGTGGGACAAAATTGTTCATAAATGGCTCTAAATGAAGAAGCACAAAATTGTTCCTAGATGAAGAAGCATTGTGGTGAAAAGCAAGTAAGAAAAGGAAGGAAGGAGAAGGTTTGAAAACCATTCAATTATTGGAGTAAAAAGGAGTTGGACAATGAAAGAAAAGAGATATCCATGAAAATAATAGAAAAAAACAGGGGAGGCGGAAAAGAGCATTAGGGGCGCGCACCTGGCTATTCTTCGGTGCCAATGCTTCGAAAAGCCACCACCTTCTCTCTCCTTCCCCATATATCTCCTCTCTGTTGTTTATCCCATTTTTGTTTCCTTGTAGCACCCTATTCTGCCCCGATTTTTCCATTTTCTACCCCGAGTAAGTATATTCATCCCATCTCCTGTTTTCCACCTCAATTTCTCAGATGGAATCATCGTTTTCATCTTCCCCCATCTACTTTTCCCCTCAACCCTCTTGATCTAGCCTCAAACCTTTCTATTTTCCCCAGAATTTCCCTTATTTTGTACATAATCTGTATCGATTTTGTCTGAGAGTGACTTGTTTATATCGTGTTTATTTGGATTGACGACCCCCCCCCCACAATCATTTTCTGAATGTTTTTGATGTTTTGATGCCTAAATAGCTCGTGTGAATCGAGGGTGGTGGATGAATAGAACGGATGTAATCATTTTTCCCCGACCCATTTCGTTTTTATTGAGTTTCATGGACTTAGTTTTTGGTAGGCGTTATTTGGGATTGATCATGCCGGAGGGTAATGTTTTATGGTCCATGGCGTGTGTGATTGGAGACCATTAGAGTCAGAGTCTTGTTTTTTTTTAAAAAAAAAAAAAAATTGTTTTTTCCCTTTTCCTCAGAGTTCGCTATCATTCTGATATCAAGAATCTGCAAGAGAACTCGAGATTTTGAATGTTTAATTCTTCACAATGCGAGGATTTAGTTTGCTGCATCTGTTCTTTGTTATTGGTTTTGAATGTTTGATTGATAATTGTAGTGATGTGATTGTGCAGTTGCTGGATTAGATGGTATGCAGCTACAATATCAGGAATGTGATTTCTTGGGCTGGACATGTAGGAATAATCAACCGAAGGGTTCAAATCAACAATATCTGGAGGAGCTTGCCTTCAAATCTTGGATTTGTTCACACCTGGAAGCGTGAATATAGAACGAGTCTCATGATGATGGTCGATACGGGTGCATCTGAAAATCGCAGGCCGATTGTTGATAAGCATCCAGAGAAAAATGAAGATGGTGGCTATGCCAGTGGAGGGTGGAAAAGGTCTGAATGGATTCATTTGAATGAACCTTACGTCTTTTTATTTAAAGTTATGTTGCTGAATTGTTATTCTGATCTTATGAAGATGTCTAGAAGACAATGCTTTGATCTGGTTATTGAAGTTTGCACCTAGCCTATCAAACAGCCTATTCCAATGAGATATGTGCTTAAATCTTTTATGTTTTTGTTTGATCTGCAGTGACGATGGGAAACTTAGTTGGGGGTATTCAAGTATCAGGGGGAAGAGGGCAACCATGGAAGATTTCTTCGATATTAAAATGTCGAAGGTTGATGGTCAAACGGTTTGCCTTTTTGGCATCTTTGATGGTTAGACTCTCCAACCATTGTTACAGTGGCATGATGTAGGTGTTAGATTTAGTAAATTTTAACCTTTCCGATTTCTTGGTGATATGTTGTTGGGATGTAGGTGTTAAGTTTCACTTAGTGATTGAAGATTAGAAAGTTCGAGATTTCAGATTCTTGCAAACTACTCCAAGTTTAGGCTTCATATATCCAAGACATATTTCGTAATCAATTTTGGCGCTTGAGTTGAATCAATACGAGAGATTAGTATTTTTATTGCATCATTGATGTTGAGCAATTAAATTATAGATGCTACCATAGATATCTGACAATATTATACATTGTACAAATAATTAGTCCTTTTAATGTGGTTTCAGGCCATGGTGGATCTCGTGCCGCAGAGTTTTTGAAAGACCATCTCTTCGAGAATCTGATGAAGCACCCAAAATTTTTGATGGATACCAAAGTAGCTATCAGTGTGTTTCATTTCCCTTATGCACCATTCATTTGTATATGAAGATATATTAATTAGGTTTATATGATGATTGTATTTTAGCTGCCCACAGGTGTAAGAACACGGGATCTTTAAGCTTCATGTTCTTTGTTTACGTTGCATTGTTTTCTACTGAAAAAAATATATATATGACATTAGATTCCTTGTTATTTTGTACTCGGCTTCAAAAGTTTCTTCTGTCACTTCCCAGGTGAAACATATCAACGGACCGATGCTGAATTTTTAAGTTTGGAAAAAGAAACTTCAAGGGACGATGGCTCCACTGCTTCAACAGCTTTGCTAGTTGGCAATCATCTCTATGTTGCCAATGTTGGCGATTCGCGTGCTATAATTTCAAAAGGGGGTGAAGGTATTATTTGCTTACTTTTTCTTGTTTTCTTACCCTTTTGTTTTAATGTAAGGTAGAAAATCTAGACTCTTGACCATGATAGTTTATAGTAAAAGCTAATGATAAAGATGATCAAAGTTGAACAAATCATAATGATTACAATATAACTACAACCTTTATTTCATATGCTTATTTTCATATGGGAACTTGAAACTTATCTTCATCCTGCTCGGCAGCAATCCCTCTTTCTGAGGACCACAAACCAAATAGAACTGACGAGCGGCGGAGAATTGAAAAGGCCGGGGGTGTTGTCATGTGGGCTGGTAAGATTTTCATAATGGTTTTGCTAAAAATGTTAAGAACTGATATCCCTGTTGGTTAACTTATGTATATAGGCAAAGTTCCACCATCTTATTTAAACTCCTTATGGAAAGCTAGAGTACCAAAGGCTAAAATATGTTTAAACAGAGGTCCTGTTCGTATTAACAACTATAGAAGTAAAATGATTTCAGGGAAGTAGGAATGCTTTCCTTGATAATTATCTATTGGTTGCCTGAGTATTATTACTGTTTACAGCAATTTAAATTTCTCAAGTCGTAGTTTCTTCTGACCATCTTCTAGAAAAAATGTAATGCCTTTAGCTACTGTATTTGAAGGTTATCTGCTATAATTCTTATTCATTTTCTGTTGTCAGGCACTTGGAGGGTAGGAGGTGTGTTAGCAATGTCCCGCGCTTTCGGTAACAAGATGTTGAAGCAGTTTGTTGTTGCAGATCCTGATATTCAGGTGTCGTTAGACTAATAATGGATATGTGGAAGAAGAAAGTCTTTGATGAATGAAATTTATGTTAATAGTTTATAACCTTTTAGAATCTTTGAAGGTTTTATGAGAATTTATTGTTTCAAATGCTCATCAGTGGGATTCTTTTCTAGTTTTATGTTTTGTTTGGTAAAGCTTGTCATGGTTTACTAAAACTGCCCACCATACTCACCAGGATCTTGAAGTAGACAAGGACGTCGAGTTGCTTATTCTCGCAAGCGATGGTCTTTGGGATGTGGTGCGCAACGAGGTATGCTCGCTTCATAATCCCACATATCCAAGATTCTCTAGATGGCGTGATCAGCACATATCAACATACATTTGCTATGCAGGATGCAGTACTAGTTGCAGGGAAGGAAGAAGAACCCGAGGCAGCTGCTCGGAAGCTAACCGAAGCAGCATTTACCCGTGGTAGCGCTGACAATATAACGTGCATTGTGGTGAAGTTTCATCATGATAATGCAGATCCTGCTGCCGACTAAGCATTTTGTATTGCTCAGTGTAGATTCTTTTTCTAGAGAGAGAAAAAAAGAAGAGAAAACTTGGATATGGCCTGCTAATTCTGCACCTGCAGCGAATGGGTGTGCAAAAAGGGCTAGCTTTGATTTGTTAATTCATTGGTATTATGTTATTTGTTTTTCCCAATCTTGTTTAACTGTTTATTCCTCATATTTGTTTGCTGTCTGTCTGTAAACTGAGGCAGAACAAATGAATCTAGTTTTAAACAACTCTTTCTTTTTCTCCTCTCATTTTGGTGTTAAGATTATAATTTTTGTTGTTTATGCTTCACTTACTCTTGCCCTCGTGCAACCCAATCAATTAAAACTTGGGACACCGGTGGCACAAACAACCACCAATCATTTGTGAGTATGGGGTTAGAAAAAGCCTTAAAAAATGTAATCGAAAGCAATATTGTAAGTAATGTAAAAGAGTTTGAAATGGATTAACTGAACAAACATGACTTTAAAATTAGCTATTATTGTTCTTGTTTTCACTTAATATTTTCTTGATTTTGCAGAAAAATATGGGCTTTGTGCCGTAAGGTCCATTTAAAATTTTGCCAGTGAGTCAGCCCTATTTAACCTGGGGGCTAGCGATGGATCTCCATGTTCATAGCTTTATAATTCGCCTGTAAATCTACGCGCCAATTGTAACGATTCTCATCTAGAGAAAAAAAAAAAAAAAAAAAAATGAAACCCATCTCCATAAATTTTTCTCATCAACCAAGCAAACAATTAGATGATCAGGGATAAAAGCTACCGCTCAATCAATCATCACTTCTCATTTTTGGACAAAGGAGTTTGTGGATCTTTCACAGCAACACTCTGCAGAGAAGCGACATATTGCGAGGTAACTGATAAGAGACGAATCGACTTTGTTTCTGATGCAAGTAATCCATTTAATTGGTCGATAGGTTGAAAAGTATTGGGAATGGGTTTTGGAAATGAAGCAGAGATGAAAATGGTCTTGAACTGTGTGTGTGTGTGTGATAGAGGAGGAAGGGAAGGGATGGGATGGGATTTTGCGTTTGCGTTTCTAGTTTACGTACTTCTTCCGAATGAATAGTCGGAGTAATCTATTTCCTTGCGTGAACAGAATATTCTATTTTTCGTATGATTTGGCCTACTCTTTGACAGGATATGAGGCCATAGCAAATATGAAAATCAAAGGGTAAAAGGACAAAAACCAAAAGAAAGAAGAGAATAGTATCCTTTAGCCAGCCCCCTTTATGCTGTTGATTGGGTATCTATCACTTTTTAGACCAAGGGATAAACCATTTTTTTTTTAAGAGAAGATGCTTTGTGTGAGGAAATGTAGATGAATTGTTCTGTTATTTGCCATGGAAAATGATTGTTTTCTTTATTTTGCTTCATTTTTAATCCAATGAAGTGATATTTTGCTGGCTGAAAAGCAAGTTTAAACAATGATAGATATTGGTGGAATCCCTGGTTCTGCATAAAGCTGTTCTGATGGTTTAGATTCTTTCTGTGGGTTTTTCTTTACATATAAAACGCTATTATTCCTTTCTGCATAAACTCTTTTGTAGATAACTGAATGTAGCTTGCAAGTGTCTTCTACCTCAGAAGAGAACCTTTTATGTTTCTGTAATTGTTTTGCATTTGGCAGAAAAATTGTGAGATCTACGAGATTTTTCTTTTTAAACTCCTAGGATTGGAGCTTTCTTTTGACGAGACTTTTCCAACAAATTGAAAAACGTCAGTTCCTTTCATGGTATTTTAGTTTATTGGAAGAAGTATTTTGGGAACTCCTTGGTTATTCGATTCCGTCTTAGCGAATAGAAATGGGTTTCTTTCGGTCTTAAAACTTGTGCTTGGATGGCCCATCTCACTTATTTTCTACTCATGTTCTGATTTCAAAAGATAAAAGACCTTTGGAGGTTTCCACTTGCTCTGCACTTTGGTTGATACAGATATTTTTCTTATTAGAAAAAATTTCATTGGTAGTATGTTTATGAAGAACAATGGAGTGATATCATCTCTGATGGAGCTAGGTGATTCGGTTGGTTTTGTTTCAACTTGAGCCACTTTAAATGAATCACATATCTCCACAATGATATGATATTATCCACTTTGAGCATAAGCTCTCATGGTTTTGCTTTTGGTTTCTCCAAAAAACCTTATACCAATGCAGATGTATTCCTTACTTATAAACCCATGATCATCCCTTCAATTAGTCAACGTGGGACTCCCTCCCAACAATCCTCCCCTCGAATAAAGTACACCATAGAGCCTCTCCTGAGGCCTATAGAGCCCTCGAACAGCCTCCCCTTAATTGAGGCTCGACTTCTTTCTTTGGAGCCATCGAACAAAGTACACCATTTGTTCGACACTTCAGTCACTTTTGACTACACTTTCGAGGGTCCCAACTTCTTTGTTCGACATTTGAGGATTTTATTGACATGGCTAAATTAAGAGCATGACTTTGATACCATGTTATAAATCACAGACCTCCCCAATAATATGATATTGTCCACTTTAAACATAAGCTCTCGTGCTTTTAGTTTCCCCAAAAGGCCTCGTACCAATGAAGATGTACTCTTTACTTATAAACTTATAAACTCATGATCATTCCTTAAATTAGTTATTGTGGGACTCCCTCCCAACAATCCTCGACACTAAGTTTGAAGTTTATTATACTCCTCGTGTACTTTAGCTTGTGATTTATTGTTGTATGCTAGAACACTTTTTGGAATGAAACAAATGTTCATGGAATATGCGGTTGCATTCTATAATCATATTAGGGTCTGTGATGTTTTCAATTTTAGTGGACATGGCAGCGGGGATGATAGTTTAGAAAAATTGAGATTCTTTACTTAAAGCCCGTTTAAAGCTGCATCCAATTGCTTTGGAAGCAACTTCTGTGTTGTTAAAATCAATAAACATTCCTTTTGTAGAAGATTCTCATCAGCTGATTTTTGAAGCAATCGTCAAACTAAAATAATTGATTGCTTTTATTTTGAGAATCTAATTTGAGACTCAGAGCAGAACAGATTGGGCAGATGTTTTTGGGAAAAACAGGTACGAACTTTGGAATTGACTTGTTTTGTAGCTTGTTGGAAGGTATTTTGTTTGAGATAGGCTATAGAGTTGTGATACAAAGATAGGAAGGTACTTCACTCCACACACAACACGGGTTCTCTGTAACTCTAGGAACTTGGGAATCTCACAACTTAGTTTCTGAACACAAGAACATGGGGGGTTAAGCTTTTTAGATGAGTAGGCTTTTACTCAAATTGGTGAGAAATGCTTCCACTCATTTCTTATGAGAATGATATTCGCCTGCCTCTTTTCTGTATACAAGGAGATATTTCAAATTAACTTTAGTAGATGGTTTCACTATTTTTGTTCCAAACCCATCCATAAACCCCGACCCCGAGTTAGGTTAGGGTTGCTTCCACATGCAAATAGTATACACACGTATTCTTTTTGAGTTAAAAGGAACTATTGGAGTTAGATATTGAACCACCACCTTTAGCATGGCATGGTAATTGATGCCCAGACTCACTAAACTACACTATGCTATGCTGGTAGATATATAAAGGGGTTCATTATTTTTTAGAATAATTGATATTAAACTTATGGGTGCTGTGGATAAGTTTGAGGTTTTGGAGTAGACAGCTTGTTGTTGGTCCCTAGAAAGGGTTCGGAAGGGTATTGGTTAGAATGATCAGAGGGTTTTAAAAGGACCAATGAAAGAGTTTGGGTTAGAACATAATGATGCATGGAGTTGAGAAATGGGGGAAAGAGTACAAAAGTGAAGGAGGGTGGTTGGTATTGGGTATTATTTGGGGTTAGCGGTCAAAAAACTGGATTGTGGAATTGCTTAGGCATCCATTGTGATTGGTTGAAAATGAGAGATGAGAAGAGAGAAGCCGTATTTTCTTTTGGCACTTTGTTCCTTCCAAGAAACCCAACTTTCAGCCGAAGCCTACCATTATCACTCCTTCAAATTCCTCCAATTCACATCTTCTTCCTTCCTTCTTTTCTTCTCTTTGCTGTTCTTTTTCTTTTCTTTTCTTTTCTTTTCTTTTCTTTTCTTTTCTTTTCTTTTCTTTTCTTTTCTTTTCTTTTACTGATGGCATGCACTCCAAAATAACTCCAAAATAAGGGAAGGGAAGGGAAGGGAAGGGAAGGGAAGGGAGGCAAGGGAAGGGAAGGGAACTTCTTAAACATGAAGTGAAATGCTTCTTCACTCGAGAAACTCAAACCAAGAAATTTGACTCATCCGTCTACCAAATTCATTTCTTTTCAGTCCAAATATATTATTAAAAATATTAGCTTAAATGAACAAAATTTAACAATTATTTTATTGGATTTTTATTTATTTATTTTAGTTTATAGGAGTAAATTAAAAAATATGTAAAAGATTATGGATATACCTTCCATGTACAAAATATCAAAGATGCCCCTCCCCTTGAGGAAGGCAAAACCAACCAACTATTAAGATCTTCTTGTTAAAGAAGGGTAAAACTTGAAACAAAATGATCTCAAACATCATATTTGAAAATGGCAACTCAATCAACAGCAATAAATAAATAAATGATGTAACTTTGATTTTTATTGAATTATTAGCTTTGTCACATTTAATTTAATTCTGTTTAAAATATTTTTTTTTTTTAAATCCATTAACCTTTTTTCTATGCTGAGTTTTGTTTAATAAAAGTAAATTTAGGGTTTTCTTTTAATGTGGATAAAAGGATAAATAAATAAATAAATAAATAATTGGGGAGAAGAACAATAAATTATCACAAGATTTTATGGCTCTCATCTTATAATAATAAATATTTCAACTTTTTGCTGTTTGGTTTTATTATATGTTTTTAAGGGATGAGATGAGATGAGATGAGATGATATGAGAGGATGATAGAGAAACTTGAGGTTATTTCTTGTCTGCTTCCCTATGCACCAGGCAACTCAATCACCACACTTTTCCCCGTCGTTTTCTCATCTCCGGTCATCTGACCTCCGCCTCAATTCCGATCCGCCCTCCGCTTTCTAACCTCAGATGACACGGACGGACTGCCATTTCCACTCTGTTCCCGATTGTTTACCATGAGCCCTCTTTAGGTTTGAGCTTCTCTTGGTTTCTGCCTTTTTGTTCTACCTCAGCTTAGTTTTTAAAAAATGAGTGGTAGCGGTGGATTCAGCAGCTTGGAGAGGGAGTGCATTCGGAGGCATCACAGCCACGAGCCTGCTGAGAATCAGTGCAGCTCCGTGCTCATCAAGCGCATCAAAGCTCCTGTTCCCCTTGTATGATTTCTTTCATTTATCTATCTCTCTTTTCATATGGTTGTTTCATATGTGAAATTTGTGTTCCTGGGGTATGGGTTTTACATGAGCCACATACGTTTCTTCTCTCTATCATTCTTTGACGTCCATATTTGTAAATTCTGAAGAGGATAATCCTTGGTGGATCGGACTATAACTCTTTGTTCGGTGTTTTCAGCCTCAAAATTTGGGCCCTTCAATTTTTTTTAGTGCGTTTTCTTTGTCGCAGCGTTTACCAGAGATCTATGGGGTATTTCCATTGGCTTGTTGTTTCGTGTATGAAATATAATAATCAATTCTATTTAGTGCTGATCTCTGTTTCTGCAGAGTACTAGACAGTAATTGTAAGCATTTAGTTTATTGTTTAGTCTTGTTAAATCACTAAACCCCAAAAAAGAATTGATCTCTTGGATTAAGAAAAACCTTACCTTTTCAATATATATTCAACACTTTCCTCCCTTCACTTCCTAAATTGTTGCCCATCTCTTTTTATCAAAAACTGGCAACCATAGATCTATGTCTTGTTTACTTGTTTTTGTAGTCTGTAGTTGGGCTGTTTGGCCAACTATGTTGCGAAAATTATATACATATATATATATACACAGTCCCAAGTATTCTGCCAATCTTTCTTTGGATATTGGCACTAACTTGGAAGGCTTAGTGGATTATTTACATTTTTCACTTCATTGGACAATAGTACGCATATAAGGTCTCTGGAAATGTGTATGTCAAGGTGAATGACTAGCTTATAGTACTCATAATTTAAAAAAAAATGAAATGAAACTTGGAGAAAAATCAAAATTTTATCGACATGGAAATCAATTTTCTACTACTATAGAACTGCACTATCATATTTTTCGAAATGTGGTTATTTTGAGAGTTCTATCACGTGCATCTGATTTATTTGGCGACATCCACGTTCTAATTTAGTTCTCATCAGGTTTGGTCTTTGGTGAGAAGATTTGACCAGCCCCAAAAATACAAGCCATTTATAAGCAGGTGTGTAGTGCAGGGGAATCTTGAGATTGGAAGTCTCAGAGAAGTTGATGTCAAGTCTGGGCTCCCTGCCACCACAAGCACCGAAAGGTTGGAACTTCTTGATGATGACAAACATATTCTTAGCATCAGGATAGTTGGTGGTGATCACAGGCTTAGGGTAAGTTTCTCTTTTTCCATTGCCTGATTGCTATTTACTTAGATGGGGTATTGCCACACAAATACTTATTCTCAATTTTAAATTGTTTTCACGCATTAGTCGCATTCACAAGTTGCATTGTCTACCAAATCTTATATATAGTTTATAGTTCTAAAAACTCTTCTGGGTGTGGTTAAATTCTGGGGGAACTCTAGAGCGCCTAACTGAGAATAATTTGGTTAACTGATGGATGGATCAAGCTTGGGTAATTGCATGTGTTCTTAACAGAGGATGAAATTCTCCAATTCAATTCTTTGGACATCCTTGATGTATCACTTTACCGGCTTAGGCTGTTTTTAATTCAAATCAGACGGACAATCCATTTTCAGGATTGGGGAGGGCATATTCGAGTAGGAATTTGAACATTTGCCGCTACAATGGGAAGGCCTCTCTTATTGAAACTAATCGTCACCCTTTGTTGATAGAAGTTGTCTAATGAGATAGGGCATGGTGAAACGTTTATTCGAAGAATACCTTGTGCTGATTATTGGTCCTTATGATGCATAATCCAACCAACTTTCTTCTTCCTTTTTCTTTCAGAACTACTCTTCAATAATTTCCCTCCATTCAGAGATCATAGATGGAAGGCCAGGGACTCTTGTGGTTGAGTCATTTGTGGTGGACACTCCTGAAGGAAACACAAAGGATGAGACTTGCTTCGTTGTAGAGACGTTAATCAAATGCAATCTCAAATCTCTTGCTGATGTCTCAGAACGGCTTGCTATTCAGGATTGGACTGAGCCTATGGTTTAAGCGAACTTTAAAGATTGAATGGAGAATGGTGGGGGCAAGATTTGCTGTGATATTACGCACCAAGATTGGCAGTAGTACTACTCTCATATACACATTTCACACTTGTTCCCTTTGCTGGTTAATTGTCTTTGAATTATAGGCTGCTGTCTTCCGTGGCTGAAGCACCTCATGTCTTTATAAAGGAATTCAACACCCATTCATGAATAAGACGTATAGAAGTTATTCTTCTCTAGTGTCCAGGATTTTGGTTAGGTAGTGTAGGATTTATGGTTGTACACACGAAGAGGCATTATGAGTACACTCCTTAATTATTTTGGTTACTAGTTTCAGACAGTCAAACTGGGACAAACCATATTTGGATTTTAAGCATTGTCTGTTTGTTGGTGGAAATTCTATTTTTCACGTAATGTTGGCCGAGTTTATCACCATCTCCATGTTTGTTAGCTAATCAAGCATCATTTAAGTAACAATCAAGTTGATGGTCGATTTAGAATCGTCTGGTTTATCATCTAAAGTAGACTTATGTTGGGATTATAATTGCCTTGTGAATAAAGTGGGGTGCTGTCATGTCTTTAATTTCTATAATAGGCTAAGTCCATCGCCAATAGATATTGTCTGCTTTGGCTCGTTATGTGTCATCGTCAGCCTCGCGGTTATAAAACGCATTTGGGGGAGAGGTTTCCACACCCTTATAAGGAATGTTTTATCCTCGTTGGCACACTGCTCAGTGTCTGACTCTGCTACCATTTGTAACAGCTCAAACCCACCACTAACAAATATTGTTTGCCCACCACTAACAAATATTGTTTGTTTTAGCCTGTTACGTATTGTCATCAACCTCACGGTTTTAAAACGTGTCTATTAGGGAGTGGTTTCCACACTCTTATAAAGAATGTTTCGTTCTCTTTTGCAATTGATGTGGGATCTCACAATCCATCCTCCTTGGAGGCCTAGTGTCCTCGCTGGCACATTGCTCGGTGTCTAGCTTTGATACCATTTGTAATAGCCTAAGCCCACCGCTAATAGATATGGTCTGTCTTGGCCCGTTACGTATCACCTTCAGCCTCACGATTTCTAATAGATATTGTCTGTTTTGGCCCGTTACGTATCACCTTCAGCCTCACGATTTTTGAACACGTCTACTAGGAAGAGGTTTTACACCCTTACAAGGAATGCTTCGTTCTCCTCTCGAACCAATGTAGGATCTCACAATTTCTCTCCTACATCCGACCATATAAAACTACTATGCAACTTCCTCCAATAATTTCTCTTCATTAAATCCAAAGTCCAATATAAAACTACTATGCAACTTCCTCCAATAATTTCTCTTCATTAAATCCAAAGTCCTTTGGAATTGTTAGAATAAGTCACCACTCCAATGCTAAGGTAAACCATTCATCATAGTTTTGTCTTCTATAAGAAGTAAATTTGATCATAATGGTTTGACTTTCACAATTTCCAATCAATGTGTTAGGTTATAGTGAATTTAATATTTTTAATGGTTTTGACTATTACTTTAATTTATCAGACATAGAGCATATAGGTTTGAACATAAATCTAATTCATGAGATGTAACAGAAAGTATTAAGCTATTCCATGAAAATGAACTTAGTTTTAAGTCTATTCCTGAACATCCAAATCCTAGTTCTGATACTTAACTACCAATGTCTTTAATTATGATGTCTTCAAATTAGAAACCGCTGAATTCTTAGGGGAAAGAAATGAAATCCCCATTAGGAAAGGCAAGAAAATTCCAAATGGGAACTGTATTGGTAACTAAGAGATGAAAGCCATAAATTTGGTTCGAGAGGGAAAGAAAAGGAACAAGATGAAGATGTGCAGATGGAGACAACACTCAAAGTTGTGGCTTTGGAGCAAAAAAGTGAGACTTGAAGTAAAGATGAACATGGATTTTGCTGTTTGAAAAATTATTCCATATGATTACTTTTAGTCTTTATCCAACTAGCCTTTGTCATTTCAAATGTGTCTATTCATCCATATGAGCATAGTTCAACGGATTAAATCATTCGTGTCCATTTTCCTTCTGATACTGATAGATAAAGGAGTTTCTTTCTTCCTATGAATCCTTTTTGCAGAAAAAAAAACTTGGAAAACAGTCAAAAGGGTGTAATTTATAAACAGTATAAGATATTTTTATCACATATATGTATACAAAGGTACAACCATTCCTGTGTTTTAACTGCTGTTCTTCTCCTATCAAACTCCCTTGTGCCTACAAGTAGCAGATCTGCCAATTGAATGTACTGCAAAATATGAATCATAGTTACAAATATATGGTACAAATCTCTTGCTCCTTGAGATGTTTTGGCCATAAGAAATTGTGCAGAGTACAAGATCATTGAAACAAAGCATGAGGTTCTCATCGATTCAGATTAAATGCCGACGAAGGTAATCCACTCTTGCAGGATGTTTGAGCTTCATCAGAGCTTTAACTTCGTGCTTCCGCACCATCTCTCTTGAAATATTTAGATTTCCTGCTATCTCACCTAATGTTCGGTTTCCTTTCCCGTCGAGACCGTATCTTTGTCTGATCACCAAGCTCTCCTTTGGCTTAAGAGAATCAAGCTGGAAGAAAGTTCTAGGATCAGGTCATCAAGAATTATAAATATCAGCAGAATACGGCATTTCTAAGCATCCCATCAAATGATGCAGCAGAAAGGACAGCTACTATCCACTGATATGAAGAACCATTTGAGTTCAAAGTAATCCCAAGTCAGGAATGCCTACGAAATCTACCAAAAGGAAAGTCCATGCAAGTCTAACAGTCTAACAGCCCGAGCCCGAAGCTAGCAGATATTGTCCTCTTTGTGATTTCCCTTCAAGGGCTTCCCTTCAAGATTTTAAAACGCGTATGTTAGAGACAGGTATCAGAGCCAGGCACCGAATAGTGTGCCAACGAGGACGTTGGGCCCCCAAGGGGGTGGATTGTGAGATCCCACATTGGTTGGAGAGGGGAACGAAACATTCCTTATAAGGGTGTGAAAACCTTTCTATAGTACACGCGTTTTAAAACCTTAAGGGGAAGCCCATAAGAGAAAGCCCAAAGAGGACAATATCTACTAACGGTGGCCTTGGTTGTTACAAATAGACTACTTTTACGTTGATTTTGGACAAATAAGTGTAGTGCGGAGCAAATGAGTTGCATCTAAAACAAGCAAAGCAGTGTGTGCCATACTGCTAAGATGCCTTTAACCAAGCATTCGTGATGAGAAGACATTTTACCAAATGTATTTCACAAGTTAAATCATGGAAGCAAAGATGATATATATCTCCGGCTATGTTCAAAAGCCAAGCAAAGAAGATTAACGTAGTGGTTTGGGGGGGAAAGGGACATGCTGCAAGATTTGAACGGAGACATTACCACATCGTCAAGAGCAAGCCTCAGAAGAGCTGGTTGCCGCTGGTTGTCACCTCCAGTACTTTCTACATCAGTGATCGCATTGATAAACTCTTCTGATGTAGTCGAGTGCCTAGAATGGAGAGAGTAAACTGGTTTTATAGCCCTCATTACTTCTAGGTACCTCTCAGGCGAGATGCCAACTTTTGCAATAATCTCTTCCTCTGTTGGTAATCTATGATGCTCACATGATAACTCAAGTTTAGCTCTTTGAATATCAACTCTTACCTGCACTAAGTAAAGGTCCAATCTCAATAATCCATGCCATCATGTGCACCAAGTATCGTTTAGACGATGTTTTAGATTCAAAACATAACAAAGTGAACAGATTCTATTCAACTGTTTAATTGATGTGAATATGAATCTCTCAAAAACTCTTGCAGTCTACCACAAATGATCGCGAGATGATTTATGGCTTGCTTCCTTGAGTATCCAGCTACTCTAGCGTGATTTTTTGCTATTTCAGTTTGTTCAAATGCAGAGCTTCTAAACTTAGAGTGGTAAACTTGCTTCTTTGAATTACAACTAGATGGAAAGAGAAACTTCCTTCCCCTTTAGACAGTGGCTAGAATCTTAGAGATGTCAAGATCATGCTCTCAATATGAAACTTTAGGTTTCCTTCAAAGTCTACATATTCCCTTATTCTATTGCTCTTTGTATCTTCTCTGTTTAGGGTGACAACTTCTTTGGTTGTTCAGCATACAGCAACAACAGTATGATGTGATGAAGAAAAGCATAGTGATGATTAATGAACGCAGGCAATCCATTTCCATTACAGAAAATGAAGGAATGAAAAATCCAAAGTGGAATAAGAACCAACCGAGTCGAGTCCAAATGAGACACGTGTGAAGCTTGAGAGAGTTATCGACCGAATAATAGCATGTCTTATCCAAAATAAAGCATAAGTTGATAGCCGGAATCTCCTCTTTGGCTCAAAGCGGTCGATTGCTGTCATGAGTCCCTTGACACCTGCTTGACAAAGGTCTTGAAATTTTGGGCCACTTGCAAAATCTTCAAAGTATTTGTTGATCACAAACAGTACAAGGCGGAGATTATGCTGCAACAGATGTAAAATCTAACCATTAGTTCCACCCTTTTCACATTTAACAGTACTCTTATGACATGAGTCCATTACAACTTGGTCACATTCTTGTATGCCATTAGATTTCTGACGTGTTATCACAGAAGCCTGAAGCAATAATGCTTTAATTGTGGAAGGAAGCCACTCTTACCTTGATGAGATTGTTTCTGGCAGCACGACCAACCTCCAGTTGCCTCCTCACTTGAATTACATTCATATTTGTTGCATCGACCAATTCTCCTTCAGTTGGTTCTCTTCCCAACTCTTTCTGCAGCTCTTCTTGTACTTGAATAAGTTCCTAACAGAGGAAAACGTTATTTGGCAGTGAACAAGAATGATAACTTTTCAAAGTTTCATTCAAATTTGTTTACAACATCAGAATTCCTAAGCCTCACCTTCATTGGTTGAACCAACTTGAACAAACGGGTATGCTCTGATGAACTAAGAACAGGAGGAATCTTCATTTTTTTCCAGTCCAAACTTGCCATATCAGTTGACGCAGGGTAGTTTCTAACAAGATCATCAGTTTCATCAGCTTCACTTACGGTATCTTTTTGTTTCCTTAATGAAGGAGTTGCTTTGCCCTCCTTGTTACTTTTCAATGCTATCCTCTTGTCTAGATCTAGTCGCTTAATCCTCCTAGTATGGTTCCTGACTATGCCATCACTTGGTCTCTTGTCTGGTTTTTTCCTCCTTTGCTGGCGTCTTTTCGGTCTGCCATCTTCACATTCCACATCGGTATCCTCTGTCACAGAGCTAAGCTTGAATATGTTTTCAAGTTTAGCAGCAGCCTCATAGTAATCCACATCCAAAGTGCAGGGAGTAGCTTCATCAATAAAGACAGCTTTAACTCTCTTCAAAGATTTGCTTGTTTTTCCTGATCTTTTCTGGTTTCTGCTATTACTCTCCACAGGCAGGATCACTTGCTCGTGAGGTGAGACCAGAGTAGTGTCAGTGTGCTTATCCACTTTAAAAGCGACAATCGATGGTCTTTTCGACAAATTGTGATTGGAGAATATTGCACCCAGCCGAAGAGGAGATCGTGCTGCAGAGCTTGAAACGGTCACAACTCCCATACCAAGTAGCCTTCAGAACAGCAAAAGAAATCAATATAGAAGCTCCTGCAACCTGCAAATAAATGGTAAATGTATCTCTTATCACTCTAATCCTGTACTTCAAGAATGCATTGGCCAAAAATCTTCATTCTCCTTCATGGGCAATTCATCAAACAAGTGGTTAGAATAAATCTTAGAAGCATCCCTATCGGTGCATCCACCTATAGAAATAGCTACCATTTTTCAAGTTTAGGACATGGCTACAAACATTTTCCTTACAAGTAACTTCAAGCAGGTAGGATTACAAAGCTTGAAACTTTACTTGTTTATTCATGTGGGTTTGTTGTGGGGGATCCTAAACTGAAAGACATTGATAAAAAACACACAAAAGTTCAACCATTTGCACCTAAAAGCACTTTTTTGAAGGAGTTACCCGATTTTCCCACAAAGAACAACAAGATTCTTCAAAGATTCAACTAATACAAACAGAAAAAGAAATCCAAGTTGAGAAACACAAACCTTCAAAGACAAAGGTAAAGCACAATTTTGTTTTCCTTCAATATTTCCTTTGGGGCTCCCAGAATCAGAGGGAACAAGCTTAAAATGACAGTCTACTAAATACATGAATTTTTGTGTCCACAAAACAATCTCACTTTTTAGTCGACAGAAATGGACTGTGATAGCAGGGCCTTGTGATCAATCCACGGTGAAGAAAGCAGCACGGTAGGGAAAGGAAAGTGGACTAGAATTGCCAGGGTGACGTGGCGGTGTTGGAGCAGAGGGTGAATTACGTGGCAGCTGAGGAGTGGAGGAGAATATATTTTTGGGAAAGTTAATGGATGATGTAAGTGAAAGACGTGTGGTTCTAATTGGCTTTGGAGTTTTAACCCAAATTTTGCGTTGGTTTCGAGCTCTACACGTTGCTTAAAACCCCAACCATTCAATTATTTTTCTAACTTAATAACTATTTAATTTTTTCAAACTGTATTTGTTTTCTTATTACTTTTAAGCAATAAATTCGTTTATAAATAAATAATATTCAAACTTTTAGAAAAACCAAAATCAAAACCAAAGCTAAGGGAGCTTGGATAATATCATGTAAGTGTAGAGGTTTTGTTATTTCTACCATGTAGAGTCATGTCTCTATCTTAACGTAGTCATGTCTTGTGAGCTTCAAATGTGTATTCATAGTGACTAAAGTGTCGGAGCAAATGATGTACTTTGTTCGTGGGCTCTACCATGAAAGTTGACGGACAATCTGTTTCTAACACAAATCAGTAAGTCTCCTTTGTAAGTTTAATTTCCCTTTGTGTTTCAAAAGTGGAATCGGTCAAAATTGGACTTAATCTCTCAAACCAATTTATAGGGAATGTATCTACGACCGAAGACTCGTCTCCTTTTGAAGAAAACTCATCTAAGTCAAACTATCTCCCCTTCGTTTCCATTGGCTTCAAAAAGATTCTCAAACTTTTTTTTTAAATTGCCCTCCATCTTCTTCCTCCTCCTTCATCAGACCTTCGCAATTCACACTTCCTTTGCCCATTCATCCCCAACTTTTGTTTCCTTTGATCACCCAAAAGTTGTGCAAATTCAAGTGTAAAAACTCCTTCTTGCCTACTTTTTCTCAGACCCCACTTCAAGTCTTTGCTTCTTTACACCATTCTTTGGTTTGTTAGCTTCCTTTGAAGCACCCTGTTTGGTTTAAAGCTACATTATGTGTATATTTAAGGTAGAGTTGTGTTAGTTTTTTTGTGTATTTTCTGGCTGCCTTGCCTTCTATTCTTCAGCAAATTTCAGAACTTTGATTCCCACTTTTGGAAATGGAGAACTTGGGGGAATGGGAGCGGAAGAATCTTCAAAATGAGCTGCTTAAAGGGAAGGAGTTTGCGAGGCAACTCCGAGTTCATCTCAATGTGAGACCTTCAACTTCATCCATGGCTGCTGCTTCTTCTTCTTCTTCGTATGATGGTGGAGAATTATTGGTTCAGAAGATTTTATCTTCATATGAGAAGGCGCTGTCATTGCTCTCTTCAACTAAATCTCCTTCCTCTCTTAACGCAAGTCCAAGGAGTGAAGACTCTGACCATATTGCCCAAACAAATGCTGCTTCTCGTAAAAGGTAACTGATTTGAACAAAGAAAAAACACTTTTTATCAGAACTATTGTTAAATTTTCATAGCTTTTGAGACAGTTATGCATATAATTGTAGGAACATTCTTCCAACTTGGACACTGAAATTCCAAGTTACTCCAGGAATGGCCCTTGAAGGCTCTCTTGATGATGGCTTTTCTTGGAGAAAATACGGTCAAAAAGGGATTTTTGGTGCCAAACATCCCAGGTATAACTTTTGATTGAAGGTCGATGGTATATTTCTTAACCAGTTGAGCTATACTCATGTTATTGGTTTGAAGCAACTATGTGCGTTGTTCATATGCAGAGGCTATTACCGATGCACACATAGGAACCTCCAAGGTTGTGTTGCAACCAAACAAGTTCAACGTTCCGACGACGATCCGACTATCTTCAAAATCACGTATCGGGGAAACCATACTTGCAGCCAAGTGTCCAACCTTGGTACTACACCTGCAGCACCAGAGTTTCAGCAACAAAACCGTAGAATTGATCAAAATTTGGTGCAAAGCCAACAAACATCACCTGATGCTCTCTTGAACTCATGGGCATCCTTAAGAATCATAACGGAAAACCTTGACACAGTTCATGAACCAATATTGTTCTCACCGTTTAGCTACGATCCCACATCAAGTTACGAGGCTGCAGACCGCATCGAGTCGACATCAACCGTCGACATGAACTTTACAGAGTTTTCGCCTTCGTTTTTGTCCACAACAAGGTGTGGTTCTGGGGTGAGCTATTTCTCTGGGTCCTCAAGTGAGATGAGTGAAGGATTTATTGGGAATCAAAAGTTAGAGTTGCAGCCAAACAAATCTGAGTTACCTGAGATATTTTCATCACCAACTTCAGGTGTGAACTCTCAAACTCTTGGCTTAGACTTCCCATCTGGTGAGCTTGAAATGGAGCCAAGTTTCACTTTTGACAACACAACTTTCTTCTCCTAAATCTCCTTAGTTTTGGAACTTCACTTTTTTTTTTTTTTTAAGAGAAAAGTTTTCATAATTTCATTTATAGTATTGTTTACATACATGACAAAGTTAGGGAAGTAGTTAGTGATACTTCCCCGTGTAAGTTTGTCGTTCGCTGAATTAAAGTTTTTAAAACGCGTCTGCAAGGGAGAGGTTTTCACACCTTTATAAATAATGTTTCGTTCTCTTCCCCAATCAGTGTGAGATCTCACAATCCACATCCCCTTCAAGGCCCAGCGTTTTCGTGGCACTTGTTTCTCTCTTTAATCAACGTGGGATCCCAAAATTCACCCCCCCCTTCGGGGCCAACGACACTCGTTCTCATCTCCAATCAATGTGGAATCCCACAATCCACCTCCCTTCGAGTTTCAGCGTCCTTGCTGGCATGCTGCCCGGTGTCTAGTTCTAATACAAACTGTAACCACCCAAGTCCAAGGCTAGCAAATATTGTCATTTTTTAGTTTTCCCTTTCATATCTAACCACCCAAGTCTAAGGCTAGCAAATATTGTCATTTTTTAGTTTTCCCTTTCATATTTTCCCTCAAGATTTTTAAATGCGTCTGTTTAGTTTAGTGAGATGTTTCCACACCCTTATAAAGAAAGCTTTGTTCTCCCCCCAACGGGATCTCACAATCCACCTCATTTCAAGGCCTAGCATCCTCATTGGCACTCGTTCCCCTCTCTAATCGATGTGAGATCTCACAATCCACCTGCCTTCAAGATCCAGCATCCTCACTAGCACTCGAGCTTCTCTCCAATCGATGTGGGATCCTACAATCCACCCCTTTTGGGGATCAGCGTCTTATGATCGATGTGAGATCCTACAATCTACCCCCTTCGAAGTTTAGTGTCCTCGTTAGCACATCACCAGGTGTCTAGCTCTTATGGCAGCTGTACTAGTCCAATTAATTTAACTTGAATTTGTATAAATACCAGTAGGCCAATTATGGTTGGGCCATAACAGGAAACCCGCACAAATCTTTGTAAAATTTTCTTAATGTATCATCAAAATCAGAAGGCTAGCTGATGTAGTATGATTCTGACCCCTTAATATCACTTCTTTCACTTTTAATTAATTGACACTTTCCTCCCTGGCTCAATTATAAGAATTCATTAAATTTTTTCTATAAAACATTTGGGTCGAGACAAAACACGTTATAACAAGTAGATAAGGTAGTTATATGATAGTAGATGCAAGATATACTCAAGAAGGACTTTGATTTTTAAATTTTAGGTTAGAATTAGAGATGATTTGATGAGAAAAAGAGCAACTAAAAGATAGGAATGATGAAGAGTTTATAACTTGAAAAAAGAATCTACAAAAAGAGAGTTACAGTAATTGGTTAATGGGTAGTGATGACAATCCCTCCCCCACTTCCTCTTTTATTTCTGCTCCGTACTCTTTTTTTTTTCTTCTGTAGAGAGAGAAAGTAGAGAGAGAGAGAGAGAGAGAGAGAGAGAGAGAGACTCCATGCAAGCAATTAAGTAACCCTTCAATTAGCAGAATGTTTGCTGAATTTGGTGAGCCAGTTCCTCCGCACTAAGTTGGCATTCAATTCCAATCTATAAATTAAAGAACCAAAAAGAACCCATATTACAATCATCATCATAGCTATCAAAACTAAAGATCATCATGGAAGATAGCAACAAAAATCAAGAAAAGATATCCAAATTTGGGCGTAAATTTGAGGGCTTTCTCCTCTGAAAACATGCAAAAGAGCTACCATTTCATCTCTGAAATTCGAGCCATTTTTGTCCATGCATGGAAGCCATCTGTGAGCCTAAACAAACCTTGAACATGCCAAGAAATGGAGTGCTTTGGTGCTTGTGCTAAAAGTTTTGATACACAAAAGCAAATATAACACATAAGGGAAAAAAGACTTTTACTTTTGAGATACCCAGAAGAAATTTTTTACTTTAATCAACTTAAAATCAATAAGAACAAAGAATTACTTAATGGGTTATGAAGTTAAGGATGAAAGCTTGAAACTTTATTGGTGTTGTTGTTGTTTGTGTATACCTTAATTGTGAAAGAGTTAATCATGGTTTGATCAAGTGTGGTGATCTTGACATGGAGAATTTCAAGGGAGAGGTGCTCAAGTGCAGAAATGATCTTCACAGCTTGCCCAGGAATTGGAGGAGAAACTGTCTTCAAAACCACATTTGGACCTGTGAACTTCACCTCAACTTCAGCTATGGCTGATTTTGAATTGGCCACAAGATCATTGTTGGCATTGTTAGCATTGTCAATGGAGGAATATGTGGTTGAAGATGAATTACAAGGGGATGGCTCTAATGAGTTGTTGTTGTTAGCCATATTGGTGGTGCAGCCGCTGCTTGCGGTGGCGGCGGCCACGGTGGTGGGAGGTTGTTGCAACCTTGGAGGCTTGGTGTAAGGGCTAGTGGGTTGTGGAGTTCTTGGGCTAATTGGCAAGTTAAGGCGAGGACTTAGTGGTGGTTTTCTTGGACTCATTTGTAAATTAGGCCTTGGACTTGAAACTACCCTAGGGCTCAACCCTTCACTATAAACTTTCCTTTGCCTCTTGGCCTCCAGTGATTGAAGAACTTGTTGCAACTCCTTGATGTATTCCACCACCCCTCCAATTATTGAAGCTTGATCTCCCTAAAATCCCAACGTCACAATCAACAACAATTCACAAAACCCTTATGAAAAAAAGAGTAAAAATTTGAACACATTTTTGATATTGCTTACTTTTTTGACATAGAAGCAAGGCATGAGGGTCCTCAAGATAGACAAATGCTCGTTCATTTGCTTCCTACGGTTGCGCTCCACCGTAATGTGGGAAATTCTTTGAGTTCCATCAGGGTTTGCTTCCTCCAAGGGAGAAGCCTTTGCCATTGTCGTTGTCGTTGTCGTCTTCAATCGCTTTGTTTTCGGCGAAGCCTCGAGCTCAGTCTCGGAGAAAACCAAGCTTGTGGTCTCCTCGCCGTCTTTGGTTGGTTCGATATCGTCCTCGATCATACTGAACTCGGCAACACTCTCCAAACTCTCAAAGATACTGAAGAGGTCATCTCCTTGGAGATGGGGAGTTGTATTATCGACAAATTCTTGATTTGGTTGGCAAAATTGAGCTAAACTAGCAACCATGGTGGTGTATGTTTGTGTTCCCTAGAGCCAAAGAAACACAAAGTTTGGATTTTTGTTGTTGAAAAAGTGGCGGACACAAATAGAGAAGAAAATGGAGGAAGATATATATATTGTAAAGACCAAGAAAAGATGGGTATGCCTAAGAGGAAGTTAATAAGAGGAGCGAGAGTATGAAAGGGACTAAAGTGTCACCATCAACACCATTTTCTGAGTTATTACCTCTCTTCAAATACTCACCGTTGGATGTGTGAGGATCAGACGGCCAGCAGGGACAAACCCCTTGAAATATGAAGAACAAGAAGAACATCAAAAAAGGGTTCTTATAAACACGGAATTCCAAGTGGTTTGGGTTTAGATTCTTTGACAAATTTGGTTCTTACATTATCGGTGGCTTGGCTTTCACGTCCCGTCTTCCCAAACCTTAACTCTTCTTGTACCATTGTACTACACAAGACACTCAGATTGGACACCATTTGTGGTATAATAATTTCATCATCATCAACCTAATCATTATGAGTTCATTAATAATAACATGTTAAAGGTGAGAACTCTGTGTTTTGCTTATCTTATACTTGATTATGCACAAGACCCACTTCTATTTTTTACCAATTTAAAACATGAAATATCAAAAAATTTGTTCATTAATTAGATTTTTATGGTGGCTAGGACTTGGAATCTAAATGGTATGTATATTCACTTACACTATGATCAAGAATATGATCAATTTAGGGCTTAATAAAGAGTTTGTGATCAAGAATATGCAACAAGAAAAAGCCAAAAATAATGAAAATTTTGTCCACCTCCGGTTTGAGCCCTATTATCCCAACTACCCAGTTTAAAAACGCGTTTTTTAAGGAAAGTTTTTCACATCCATTTCTAACTAATGTATATGTCACGTCTAGATTGTTTTCACTTTTCAAGATGCCTTTTTTCTCCTACTTCTTGTCTTCTTTCTGCCATATTCTGATCTTCCTTCTATATAACTAAACCTCCAATCATCCGACACGTTTAAGTAATATTATTGTCAACTTGAACTTAATTTAACTCATTATGGTATCGAAAAGGTTAAATATTCGAATCTCCATTATCACATGCTTCCGAGAGGAGGGAGAAGGATGTATGTATCAGAGAGGAGGCACGGAGATGGCGTGCCTGTGCGCACATTGAAAGAGGTTCAGGAATTGATGACACATTACAATAAAGAAGAAAGCGACTTAAGTAATATGGTATTCAATATTTGTAACAAAACTAACACAACTTGCAGGTTCTCAATTTCCCCACTCCCCTTTGTTTTTAGCATCCATCAATTTCCTCATTTACCATCCTCACCAACCCTCTTTCTCTCTCTCTCTCTCTCTTCAAATAATCCAATTTAACAACAAAAATTAAGGCAAATTTTGAGTCCTAACCCATGTGTTAATCAAAATTACAAACTTGTAAGAACGATAACGAAGAACGATCGATAATAAAACGGATGTTCGTTCATTAATATCGATACGTAGCATGCTCACAGCATCTGTATGATGGACTTTATAAAGGCATAATAAATATAGAGAAAGAGAAGCAACAAAGCTACCAATTTTGTACATATATGAACATAACAAGCTACATTAAGATTGGATGTGGAATGTGGGACAAAATTTAAAAACAACAACTTTTTTTTTTCAATAAATATAAATCCAAGTTGTAATAATTATAACATATTAAATTACATGGCCCAATGGGTCCTTCTCTTTCTCTCTCTAAAAACTTCATTCATTTCCCAATCTGAATCCCTCATTCAATACACACCCACGAAATGTATGAGCTTTACATTACTCTCCCACCATTAATTAGAACCCTTCTTCCTCTCTCCTTCCTTCTTCTTTCGCTACAAAAACCTTCGAGTTTCAAGACGATTTTATACCGTTAGAGGTAAGAGAGAATTTAAAATCAGTATTATGAACCTACAACGACTAGAAATCGAACATGTCAAACTTAAACTTATATTCAACGGTTATTTTGTAAGGTGTTTGAGTTAGTTTCGTGATTCTAGGGTTCGGAGAGAACTCGGAGAACCTCGGGAATTGTGTGTGGCCGTGATCGGACAGATGTCAGACGTGGAGCTGGGTCCTACAATGTTGATTGCATATTAGATTTGGATGTCCCATATGGGATGACTTGTCTCCATTCATGTCCTTTAACCGTTGGAAGGCTGCAGTACTTCCCTCCTCCCTTATTCAATTCGACATCTATATATCATTCACTTACAAACCCTCCCTTTTGATATCATTTCAAAGAAGACAAAGAAACAAAAAACCAAACTTTTCTCTTGGTTATTGACGATTAAGAAGTTAAGCTTACAAATTTGCAAGACAAGAACATGATGATGGTAAAAAAACATAGGTAAAAATGAAAAATAAACAAAAGGGTAAGAATGTTGGTGTATGAGTGAAAGTGTTCAAGTGGAGTAGCTGAGTGAAAAGGTTGTAGGACCATAACTTTTATTTGTAAAGCTTTAGAGGGTGGACAAAATGCAGGATCTTTCTAGCCCTTTCTTGCCCTCTCACAATTTCGCTAAAGACCCTACTAGACATTACTATTTTTATCTTTAGACGATGCGACCTTTATCAGTCAGATTGTGACGTTTTTATTGAATAATCGAGTTTTTAAGTAAGTTAAAAAAGAGATCGAGAAAAGGGAGTTGTCATGCATTATGATGAGCAGTGGTTGTGTGTTCTTTAAAAAAGACAAACATGAATCTAACACAATACAATGTCCTTTCCTTTAATTTTGGTACGATTTTTGAAAGTAAAAGACAAAATTTTTGAATTGAGGGCTTAGTTTTTGTTCATTTAGTAGGCAATGACCCGTCAGGTTTTGGGTAGTTGGGAGAGTTTATGCCTGTTTTAGCCCCACCCACCTTCACCCATTTCACCAAAACGAATGTCTTCTTCTTATTTGTGCCCCCTCTTCCTCCAAATATCTATTGTTCTTCCACCAAAATGTCCATTTTCATCACTTTTTTTCATTTATTTTTCTTTATCTCTCTTTGTTTGGGTGAATCTTGGCTTTATTGTCATTTGTTTCCCAAAAAAGACACGGTTTTGGTCCCCTAAAACATTTAGACATTTGATTCATTCTTTGGAACATGTTTTTTTCTCTATTTTGTCGAGGAACTTTTTGAAGCACTCTCTATCTTTAGGATTTTCTGTAATAAAAATTTGACACTTTTCAAACTTGGTGATGAAACATCAACAAATTAGTTCATGATCCGATTACATCATTAGATCTCTGATCGTATCATGTTAATTGTTCCTCTTTTGTTCATTTTATCGGTATGCTCTCAAATACACATAATGTGATATATTTACTAGAACTAAGGGGTCGAAGATTTAGGCACAAAACAAGAAAGAGATGAAGTTGTCTAGCTACAACACGAATTGGAAATTGTTTTTGATGAGTGTGTACGTGAAAGATTATATCAAGACTATTACGCGTTGGAAGAACACTTTAAATTTTTTTAAAAAAACATAAAAATAAATACTTTGATCAGATTCTGTATGCAGTTTCAGACATTTCAGCATTTAAAATTTGAAGTATTCTAGACTTTGCACATCGGGATCGTGGGTCCTGCGAGAACGATCATTCATATTTAATACTCAAATTTAAAAATAATAATAAAAAAATTATTTTGTTCTGCCATTGGAACTTGGAGAAATTTAGGGTTTGGATAAACAGTGTTGATTGCAGTGTCCAGTGAGTGTTATTGGAGAGTGCTTAAAGGCCTCTATTCAATCTCATGTCTTAACTGCTTTTGTGTACGCCTTTTTTGTCTCTATTGTTGACATCAAACAGTGCCACCACCTGTTTCAATGGGACAAATTTTTGAAACCAAACATTATTGTTCATCTTTTTCTTAAACTTCACATCATACAAAACCTTTATCTTGTCTCTCTACATAACTGAATCTCTGTTCCTAGCTGCTTTTAACTTCACAAGGGAAGTGACAAGAACCCTTTAATCTAAGAAACAATATCAACCTCACATTTGTAAAATAGAGATTATAAATTGGTAGGGTGAAGCGATTTGTTTGTACGAGACAGGGATTGCTCGTTTAAGCGGAAAATGATAAATGGGGCCGGGGAATTATCTGTAATTCACACTTGGGCTAAAACAACTTATTTTCTGGTTATAAAGATGTATTCGTTACTCAATGGGTATACAATTGGATGTAAAGTGAACAAAAGAAAGGGTTAAAAATGCATTAGAGAAAATGTGGAAAGAAGGTTTGAAAAAGTTGGTTAGTAGCCATTAGAGGTCTGTTTTTGAGTCTGGTCTTTATGGTTCAGTAATGGCTCTGAGCACAGCAATTGGAATGTGAATATAGTGTTCAGAATAGCTTTCAAGTTGTGCAGCCATAGAGTCATTAAACAACGGCATTTATACCTTTAAGCCTTTTGTTTCTCCAAACCTTGTCATCTTCAATCCATATATAGCAACCATTTTCAAACAAGAAAAAAAGAAAAGCTTGACAAGGCCTATGAATGAAGAGATGATAACAACATTGAAACAGCAAGTAGTGATCCAGTTATAAGACCTTCTCGCCCTTCCATTCTCTGCTTAACAGTCTCAGCAGCCAGTTTTATGGCATGTTATAATAAGGTTTTGGTGGTTAATGTCGAACGATTTGCTTTTAATGGAGGCTAGACTTCTTCTTTGGAGACCTCGGACAAAATACACCTTTTTGTTTGATACTTGAGTCATCTTTAACTACACGTTCGAGACTCACAACTTCTTTGTTCGACTCTAGATATTCCACGAATTCAATCATCTCTAGATCTTGTGAGTGAGTACTGAACCATTGTTTAGAATTGGATCCCATTCTTTGGATGATAGAAGGCCTTTCACCAGCGAAAAACTTAGGAGGTGGAAGAGTGCCTGATAGAGTAAGCCGAGCATCACAACCTTGCCGGACAGATAAGGGGCTACCTTTGCCCATTCGGTCACGTGAGGGGCGACACAAATAAGTATCATGATATGATTGAGGAGGATGGTGCATCATCTAACATACCCTGACGAGTGTGCATTTAAGCCAGCTGATATATAAACAAGATTACAGGAAACGATGACAACACGAGTGTCGAAGACAAGCTCGAAAATGGTCGGGTAAGGCTTTGGACCACAACCACAACCTCTGAAGTCAGGGTTTCGATACGAGTTTCAGCATACGACTCTGGAATTAAGTTTGTCTCTATGAAAAATGAAGGCTCACTAAATTTCAATCGATGACGACACGAGTGTCGAAGACAAGCTTGAAGAGGGGTGGTAGAGCCCAAGACCACAATCATAACCTCAAAAGTCGGGATTCTTATATGATTTTCAGCATGTGGCTCTAGAGTTAAGTCTGTAAATATGAAAGATGAAAGTTTGCCAAATTTCAATCGGACACAAGATTGACGAACCCGTATGACCGCTTGCCAATTATATCTACCCTAAAAAAAAATCAATGAAAAGAAACAAGAAGTTTTCTAAACGTATTTTTCGACCTTTCTTGTTTATACGGAGATACTGAAACTTTGTTAAATTTAAGAGTATTTTTAAAATAAGATATTAACTATTTCGAAATTTTTGAGGGTCCAAGAAGCAATTTCCTTTGGATAAATATAAAATTTAGGAATATTTTTATTAATTTAATTTTTATATAAATGGAATATAATAAAGGTGTAGATTTTAAAACCTTTATTCAAATAATGTTTAAATGATATTTATTATTCAGATATGCATGAATTAGTAGAAAGTGTGAAGATTGGATTTAAATATTGTTTAATATAATAAATAAATAGCTATATTTAAATTAGGAAGGGCAAAATGGGAAATCCAGAAATTATGAGAGAGTAAAAAAACTCCCCAAGCTTCGTTTACATATAAATAGACCTATATTTTTTTAACATTTTAATAAAGGGAAGGGTATAATTGTCAAAATACAGAAATAAAAGGGGTTTCGCGGGGAAACGGACAATTCACCTTCCTTCTTTGCGAAGCATGGCGACACCGGTAAGTTCCTGATCGCTCTTCAACTCTTCCAAGTGCATTCAGATAATTTCTGTAACCCTAAATACCCATTTCCAATTTGACCGGCTCCATTTGATTTTTAAGTTTACGCTTCTTTGTCTTTAGCATTTCGTTGTTGTTTCATTTTGTTCTATCGTGTTTGGCCTAGAAAACCCGGGGGAGAAAAAGGAAACTGAGAATGAAATAAAATAATTCCTTTTTGGTACTGGGAACTTGATCGAATTTTTTCGGAGAGATTTGCCTCGTATGAATTCATTGAAACCCTGAAACTCAAAGATGTATTAATTTGGGAAATGGGGTGGTTTGGTTGTCTGTCGCTTTTGTTTGTTGTTTTGCTGCCGAGGAAACAGAGAAATTGCTGACAAAAGATAATTTTGACTTCTAAGCTGGTTTTGATCCTTCTTTTTAAATATATTGAACTCAGGTATGCAATTGAAACGTGGTGGCGTTATTTGTTTCAGAGTTGATTTGTTTGGTGCTTATGTTGGATTTGAAGATGGATGTGGAGGAAGTTAGACATAAACTAAGCGATGTATGTAAGTGTAATGAATTGAAATTGAGGTGTGAAAGAGCTGAAAAGAAATGTGAAGAGTTAGAATTGACGATTCAGACAAAGAAGATTGAGTGTGAATTACTTCAAGGCCAATTGAAGAATTTGGAGTCAGAAAAGTCAGCAATTGAAGAAGAGCTAGCTGTTCGGATGGAGAAGGGTCGTGAACCGGGGCAGCAGGTTAGTTGTGCTGGAGATGGAAAGCCAATTTGTTTTGAGGATGGAAACAAAGGAGCTATGAATTTAATTGGTAAGACTGATGAGGAAAATGAGGTTGTTCAGCTTCTAATTGAGAATAATGTTTTGGCTGTTGAGAAGAAGAAGGCTGAAAGTGAAGCTGAGATGTGGAAAGATAAGTTCAAAAAATTGGAGACTAAGATCTCGAAGTTGGATGAAAGTTTTGTTCTCGAAGATGACGGGCCAGTGCTTTCTGGGAGGCTTGAAGGGGAAACTGGATCACCCTTGAGTCCCGAAGCTCATGTTTTGGATTGCGTGGCCTCTAACCGTCATTCCCTCTGTAAAGATATTAGAGACTTGCAAGCAGGTATTCCTTATCTTGTCTTTTTTCCTTTTTCGCACTCAATACCATATAAGACGACCACTCAACACTTCAATGATATGTAGGATTGGATCATAGTATACAATATCTTAGATGAGTAGCCATGAACACTTTGACCTAATTAATTCAGGTTGACTGTTTTCTAACCATTTCTTTTCCTTCTGTGTTTGGTGGATATGCTCTAATGATAGGAACACCTCCAAATGGTTCACCACACCATCATACTGTTTCCCTTGAGAGAGGGAAGAAATTCCGTTGTATAGAATTTTATTTCAAGCATGGAAATCAAGTTAGAAAACAGTTGAATTTTGAAGAAGAGAGCCCCATAAAAAAGATGGCACCATTAACTCCAGCTGTTTCCAGACCTTTACATGGTATCATTAACATTGACGATAGTGATGATCCGACTATTGCCAAATCGCCCTCTATCTGTGTTTCAGCAGCTCAAGATTTAAGTGGATGTGGATGTACTAGTTCTGAGGAGAAAATAAGCAATGAAAACAAATTGAGTGGTACCAAAAATGTGGAAATTATGGAAGCTTTTAGTGGTGATTTCATCTTTAATTCTACACCCAAAAGGAAACGGGCTTCTAATATTATAACGAGCGACACTGAAACTGATGATGATGATAATGTTCCAATCTGCAAATTGAAGAGAATGCCAATTCAGAAAACAAACCATACACAAGTAAGCTTAGAATTGAATGATGGCCCTGCTGCTACTACTTCTGCATGTGACAAAGTTGTGGATAGTGCAACCCCTGCAAGGCGGCGTTTAGTATCATTAAGACATTGCTACGAGAAAGAAAGTGGAAAGAAATACCCTTCAAGCCAGATCATTAATATCGATAATGGAATGAAGGATGCTGAAGATGAACTGGAAGATACTGTTTCAGAGCAAGATTCTGAGAGTGAAAGCTTGGATCGATTTATTGTTGACAGCTCCGATGCTTCAGATGTTGGAAGCGCTCAGTCAGAAGATTTATCAAATTGCAGTGAAGGGTATGAAGAGATAATATCTAAGCTAGGGAGGAGAAAAAAGGAGTTGAAATGGGAGTATGAGGCTGATATGCTCGCAGCTTTTGGTAAGGATCCTGAATTGTGTATGAAGGCTGTGTGTGCTCTTTATCGACAGCAAACTTCTGAGGAAAAAGTTAGTAAAGAATCATTATTTTCTAACAAGAGAGGATTCAGCAAGTTTGATGCTATCAAGTATGATTTCCAACCTTCTTTCCCTTTTTCTTGGATAAACGTTTTATCATATACAACCAGGGAAAACAAACACGGAAGATCTATATCTAAGAAGTTGGACATATTGTTGGCACGCGAAGAGAGCGAGTTCATACCAAAATAAGTTTTTTGATAAATTTTGCTCACTCACTTTAATGTCTGTTACAGGGGCACTAGGTTGGCTGAGTTCCTCACGGACGGCGATCCGCAAGGCAATCTCAACAAATCTGTTAGAGAGTTGGAGGAGTATGACCCAAATGCCATTAACCTCTGCAGAAAGTTAGCAACGCATTACTCCAAGCAGTTGTTCGAGATATATGGAAATAAAGAAGATCCTTTCTTTCTACCAGCATGACATGATCTCATTGATTCCACCGGCTAAACAAATGCATATGTAAGATTCAAAACCCTCTGCTTGAAGCAGCTCCAAAAAATGGTTATTTAGTTGGAAAATAGCGTAGATTATGATTATGTTGGATACTTGTTAAGAGGAAAGCTATATTGATAGACCACCACCTGTGAATCTCATCTTAAGTTTTGTGTATATAGGATGATTATATATTTCTATCGACTATCTTGGACAGGTCTACGTTGTAATTCTGTACCCTTTATGGCAATATGTTACAAAGAAAATTGAGGCCTGTTTTGGAGCATCGTAAATAAGTTATTTGATTACAATTCTCAAAAATAATTTTGTAAAAGAAAATATTTTACAGTTTTTTGTATGAGCCCTTGATTCTCCTATTCCAATACAAATATTTTGGTTCATTTCTCAAAAGTATTAGTTGCACCATCTACTTAGGATGCTAAAAGTCTTATAAATTGTTCTCAAGTTCATGAGTGAATAGGGAAAAGAATCTCTGTTGAAGAACAATGATTGTGGTTGGTAGTTCTTATGAAGATACCCATGTGATGACAGAATGGTTTCGAACAATCACAACTCTAATGAACTGGCAACAAGAATTTATTCTCAAGAAGAAAAGCTCCACGGACTGTTATGTAGGACTCTAAGGTGTAAGTGAAATTGCTTGATTTCTTAACTGGATGTTTGACTCTTGCTTCACTAAGCTCGAGTTAGGAAGTTCGGTTTTGTTCTAACTCGTATTTGAATTATGCTAATGAATAGATCACACAAACATAGAATTGTGTAATCTACATTTGGTTTGTAGATTTATGATTGTACTCGAAACATTCTCTTGTCGGTTTTGAACCTTAAGAGTTTTGAATTATAGGAGACAAATGGAAGAAAGCATGGACCATGTTTAAATGTAATACAATCATACACAGCCACAAGATTGCTGTAAAGGGCGTTGGCAGAGAAAAGAAGCCAAAAATAGGGAAATAGAGGGAAAACGTTGCCAGCAAAGGGGTGGCTTCCCAAATAAGCAGATAAGGAATTAGGCAAGAACCAGTTTACATTCTGTCTTTTTGTAAAGTAAATTAAGGATCCAGCAAAGCAGCATAAAAAAGAAGGAATCTTTAGAGAGAGAGAGAAAGAGAATGAAGACTCACATGGGTTGGCGTGGATTCCCAAGACTTTAGCGGTTGAAACCCAAACAGTACTAAACCCAAATCCCTCCATAGCCATCCTCATTCACAGCTCTCAATTTTCTTCTTCTTCTTCTTCTTCTTGTTCTTCTTGTTTTTCTGTCTTTTATTGAGGAAGAAAGGGCATTTTGGATTGAACAGAGAGACAGAGATGGCTGTTTTGAGGGCTTGTTTTGGAATCTATGCTGTGATTATTGCTATCTTTTATGTTGTCATGTTGCCTGTATCTCGAGCTGAGCATGCCTCTTCTCCAGCTCCGGCTCCCACTAGCGATGGTTAGTTCCCTTTATCCTTGTTAGTTTTTTCTGTTTGTTTCTTGAGAAACTTGCTGGGAAAATGACTGGATATCAAAAAATGGCTTTAGAATCAACTCTTCTCTTCTCTTCTCTTCAAAATCCATGTTCTAACCAGTACCAATTCAATTGGATCTCCTTGAATTGGAAATGGGTTTTGGGGAATGTGTCTCCTTGTTTGAATTGAAACAAAATCCACTCTTTTCTCCCACAAAAACCTGCCTTTTGTAGACATTTTCTGTTTGATTCTTGAAAATTTTACAGGGGAGAGATGACTGGAAATCCGAGAATGGTTTTGAAACCAACTCTCATCTTCAAAAACAGCTAAATCTGCTTAAATTGAAAATGGGTTTCTGGTATTTGAAGAGAAGAGTTATTGCGTTCTGAAAATGAATCTCCCTAAATTGAGAAAGGATTTGATTATGTTGCAGGCACCGCAATAGACCAAGGCATAGCATACATTCTAATGCTGCTGGCTTTAGCGCTCACTTATATCATCCATTGATGCAACCTCCAAAAGCACCAAAAACAGAAGAAGCTCCAATTATGTGTATGAGATGAAGGGAGGAGGGCGTGGTGTTTCAAATGCCTTTTACCTTTTTTTTTTTTCTTCTTTTTTTTGAAAGATTGGCAGAGATTTCATTTGTAGAAAGTCAGTTGTATTATTATATATTTATCATTCTTTTTCTTGAGTGATCATTATATTCATTTGGGTATATCATAACTCTCCAAAATCAGCCACTCTCTTTGAATAATTCAAGGAAGAAAATTGAAAAACCAGATAGAAACCATTCATATCCTAATTGAAACGATGAAGAAGCAAAAAGGAATCAAGAAATACTAAACAAGAAGTTGCATAGGAAGCAAGGCCTTTTAGAAGACACATGAATGAGAACCCGATTCACGGCTAGAGTGATCGATAACAATTGAAGATCAATACGAACCCGATGATGCTTAATTTTTTAAAATTCGTGTCTTAGAAGCTCGTCTAAAAGCATAGACAACATGTGAAAATGTATGCAAATAAAATGTTATTTTTTAGGAATCGACCAATAATCTAACTCTAAAACATTACATTGGTGAAAAGAAGTTGCATAAGAGATGCTACCACAGAGACGGCGCATCAGCATCAATACGTTTAATAACTGGGAACTTGCAAACAAAAAAACGAGACAGAGAGAGAACTTGAGAATCATGACACACAGTTTCAAAGAAGCAGCAGCTGAGAGGACAAATTTATGGATTTTCATGTGAAGAAACAAACTTCCAATTAAAGGAATAAACACAAACCCACTTCTATTGTCTTTTAGTTGTCCCTATCTCTTAAATTTAGGCATGAGCCCTCTTCATAGCCAACCAGATAAGAGGTCTAAAGCAACAAAATAAAATAGCATTAATACAGGTAGGATGTGTGTCATTTTCTTAGGCATTTGTTGTCTGACATGTCGTTGGATTGGAACCAAGTTTAAGGAAAGCAGAATGTTCACCAACATTTGCTGACCAGAAACACTATACTTGAAATATGTTTAGATGTTCCAACACAGTACGATGATGATCAATGGTGGCTCAAAAATATGTTGCCTCTATTGGAGTTTCAGCTGCTCTTGTTCTTTGTGGCGACTTTTCATTTTTTCGGTCGTTCAAGGAGATTCAAGCAAAGTCAGGACTTCTGAAGCTTGGAGGTCAATTTTTGTAATACCCGAATTTTTAGATGAATAAATAAATAAAATAAAAATAACAACATAGGGGCAAAATGGTCATTTTGCCCCTACTCTTATCCAAGGGGTCTAGTTGTTTGGGCTCCAAGAAGAAAGAGAGAGAAAAGAAAAGAAAAAGAGTGAGAATGGAGAAAGGAGAAGAAGTTAGGGTTTGGGAGAGAGGAAGAACAGAGATGACAAATAGCCATTGGAGATCGAATCCAAGGCAAGAAACTTCGAAGCAATACTTCTCCCAGTGCTGGAAAAGGAGTTCGGGTGGTGGAATCCACTCATTCCGGCAAGAAAATCCGAGAACGGACAAAGTAAGGTTCCGAACTTCTTATTTCGATCTTATCTAGATGTGAGGAGTTTCATGAGCGTTAGATCTGGATTTTTTGAGGTATGTGACTAAAATAAGATTCTCACAGGTTCTTGAAGTTCTTGGACGAGAATCGGACGAAAATCAGAGTTTAGTCTTGACTTCTGGTGAAGCGATCGAAAATAGAAAATGTGAGTTTTTCTGTATATTTGGACGGCCTTAACTCATCCTGTGTTCAAGAAAAAAAAATAAAGGAAAAATATATTATAGAAGTAGAATATGAGATCTACAATTTGCGTGTAGGAACTTTGTTGATATGGATTACGGATTGAAAGATAAGAAAATCGGAATAAAATAGATCGAAGACGCCAAAAACTCACGTTTCTGGAAAATTTGGAAAAACGCAGGAGGAGAGAGAGGAGGCCTTGCCGCCACGCGTCTGCCGGCGTATGGAGGAGTGCGGTGGGACCGACGAGTGACACGTGGTGACCGCGGGTTGGGGAGGCGTGCCCCACTGGCTATTCGACACGCGTCAGGGCGCGGATTCGGGTCAACCCGAGTCCGATCCGGCGCTCCGCACGCGACCCAGGAACACCGAACCGAACCGGCCGCTGGCCCTCGACTGCGCGGGAAGCCGTGCGTGGACACGCGCGCGTAAAACACCCTCTAGAGCGCGTGTAGGCGCGTGGGTGATCTTTTTCCCTCCGTTCGACCTCCGTTTGCTTGTTTTTCGCCTCGATTTCAACTCTGATCCTATTTTTATGTGAATTAGGACCTATCAAGAAAATTCCAGAATTTTTGGAACCTTTTCCGGCAAATAATTCAAGCTTGGGAAGGCACGCGTCGACCAAATAAGTAGCCATTTGGATTTCCACGAGCAGTACTTGTAGGAACCGCTAGGAACAAGCTTGCATGCTACCACCTATGAAATTAGCTAGCCCGACTTAGCGTGTTATTATAGAAATTGCGAATATAAGATGATTATGGAAAGCTAGGTACAAAATGTGTATTAAATCTGTTTTGGTTGAGACTCTGATAATGTATGTATGCATGAGGAGGTTGGGAAACCTGTGAAATCTGCGCTCCGGGTAAAGATGGATGTTATCTTCCCGTTGAGCATGTTTGATAATTTTGCATGAACTACTGCATGTAAACTCTTTTGTATGATTATTGCTTGTATTATCTTTCTGTATGAATAGGAAGAAATTATGAGCTTAGATTTAGGATGCTTATGGCTAAATGAGCTAGACGAGACCCTAGATTGGGGGACCTCTAGAATACCGTGCAATTAGACCCGCGAAATGATTACCGGTGGAACCAGAACCCAGAATTCCAAACCCGATAGGTTTGTGACACCAGGCACGAGAATCCTAGAGAAACACGAATCTAAGTCTAAGGCACCAAGTTCCACCCTGGAAAGAATAATAGGTCACCACGGTAACTGTAGGTAGCCCGCTAGAGTTGAGCAGTGAAGATAGTGTCATCAGAACCTCCACTTCCCTCTCTCCTCCGATACCATACCGTCGAGACAGAGCTCCGGTACGGTGATCGTTGAGCTTTGCAGATCCGGATAGGGAAGTGTGACAGGTGCCCAGACCTAGTGGTGATAGCTAAGGGGTCTTCTGAACAAGACTCCTGGGTCGTAGAAACCCGTCCCTGAGCGGGGGGACGTGGAGCTATTTAGGATGACTCAGTAACTGACCGGCACATAGGGGGTCGCACCCCGTTTTGTGGATGTATGGTCCCGTGTGAGGGTCGTCAGTTAACGTCCACGGATGATGTTCAGAGAGAGAGTCACGTATTCAGATCTAGCCATACGATCCCCTCATCGCCTCACCTCAGGACACTGATCATTTCATTGCATAAGATGGGCAAGCCTTTTATGATACAGAAAAGAGAGTTGCAGCTTAGATCACTCTCCTTAGAAACCCAAGAATGACCGTGGTTACCTACCAAGATAAGGATGCGAAAAGAGCCTACAAGTAGGCTGCTTACTGAGTATATTTTTATACTCACCCCTTTCTCTCTTTTTTTCTTCAGGTACCAGTCGATTCGGGAAGGTGTTCGAGAGCTGTGCGGTCACAGAGGGGTGTCGTTCCGGAGCGTCAGTCCATGGTCGATCTTTTAGAGTCCTTTGTCCGTTTTCATACTTAGAGTCTTTTGTATTTTTCTTCATAATTGTATTTTCCATCTGAAATATTTGATTTTAATTTTGTATTCCATTTTTACCTTTGCAATTTCCTTTGTAATATTTTCGAAACAAATCTTCTTTCTCTTTTGTTTTAATTGAATGGTATTTTTATCCTTTTACTTTGCTTTTCCTTTCTTTTATTTTCTTTTTGCTTGTTTTCGATTTCGTCCTTTTAGTCATGAGTTCGATTCTTCGAAGCCTCGAAAATCGGGTCGTGACAATTTTGGAGCCTAGAAAAGTAAATTTTTGAAGCTCGAGATTGTGAGGAGCGGGATATTGCCATGATGGACCTTATTTGTCTTTTTAAAATGGATTGATGCTCCAGAACGATCCCTTCTATGACCGCACAGTTCTAGAACGCTCCTCCACCTTGACCAACAACCTGCGAACACCTAAAAAGAGAGAGGGAAGGGGTGCATATATAAATATACTCAGTAATCAACCTACTTATAAGCTCTTATCACATCCTTAACCTAGTAGGTATCCATGAGATTTACTCTAGGCTTTAGGAAGTTCGGACTAATCTCTACTACTACCGGAATATCTAGGGTGCAGTGCTTTAACTACTCACAGACCCACTCTGAGTATGGAGGGTGTAGTTCACCATTTCTGGCGTCGTAGGTCTTCTGGGCGACAAATCTCATTTTTGTGGTGAACTATTTTTCCGTTCTTAGACTTAGGCTCTCTAGTGGAGACAACATGGTGTGTACTAGCCCGCTCTCATTATCCATGGGAGGTTAGCCGGCGAACCTTACCCACAGGACCATCTAGTCATCCAAGGTTGGGGGAGCAACACTTGTGTGCTTGCCAACTACTAAGACTATCCTCATAATTCTACATCCCCTCTCAGAATGGATATGTTGTGCAGGATAATCCAACTAAACTAGCGGTCACACAATCTTAACCGGTCTATGCTTGGCTTGACGGTACTGGTACCGGAGTGGAAATGGAAGTGGAAGCTCTGTTGACATCATACCATCTGCTAACGGCCTGGAGGCTACCTTTGGAGGCTACCTTTGTTTTGCTGAGTTGCTACAATCTTTCTGCTCTTTGTTCTGGGCAGTTTACTTTGCTTACATAGTGAATGATCGACGACTTGAATTAAGGTGAGACCTCATAAAATTCTAATGAGATAATATGGTGATTTCTAGTCTGAACAGCATCCAAGGGAGGTTGGTTGGCCCATCCCTCAGGACCAAAGAGTCACCTACGCTTGGGGGATGCGATCCTCGTGTCCTGGCTAGCTACTAGGCTATCCGACTTGGTCTCACGCTCCCCTCTCAGAAACGGGTTTACAGCACAATGACCCTGTTTAAGAGATCACTGGTCATTCCACGAAACTGAAGCTCACACTACCTTAGACGATCTATAACAGCCTAAGCCCACCGCTAACAGATATTGTTTATTTTGGTCCGTTACGTTTCATCGTCAATCTCACAATTTTAAAACACGTCTGCTAGGAAGAGATTTTCACGCCCTTATAAGGAATGTTTCATTCTCCTCTCTAACCGATGTGGGATCTCACACGATCTGTGCCTAGTGTCATGGTCATGCTCGTTCAAGGCATGTTGCCCATGGCTACATGCCCATGACAAGCCAAACCCTTCATGTATTTCCATGTTGTAGTATTTTACTTTTGTATTTCTATGGAGTATAACGTTTCAGAAAAATCATGTCTAGGTCTGCCAGACATGAAATGCCTCACAATGTACTATAGGGGGATATGACTAGTTGTCAACTTCTCCCTACCCGATAGTTATATGCAGTAAGCCGTTGTTGTTGCCTTTTGCTTACATTCCCATACAACGCCAATTTCAATTTCTCAAATCTTGATTTCAAAACTCTATTTCAAAATCTCTCTGCCCCCATTTTCTAAGACTTTCTTCTTGAACCGGGGCCAGAGGCTCGAGCATTCATCGCTTGGCCGTAGGCGACGCAAGAACGAATAGGCTTAACTCACTTGTTGCTGGGAAGTAAGTGTCGCACAATCACAAGTCCACTGCCATCAAAGTGCGATTGTGACACATAGCTCGTTACCGGAGTGGAAAGGGTAGTGGAGGGTCTGAAGACACCCTCACACTACTATCAGCCTGAAGAAATGCCTTGGTAGTCCCTTGTCCCCTATCAAGGCGGGCTATATCTTCATACACTGTGACTTCTCAAATTGTTCCATTCATGTTATCATCAATCTTATAAGTTCTTATAGTTCTCTGTAGGTGTCCCGGAGATTTATTAGGTTCTAGGTCGTCTAGGCAGAATAGATCACATCTCGTGTTTCGAAGTTGTTCAGGTTTAGCTCCTTGTGGCTAAGTCAGATCTCGGGGTGTATCTAAGTCTCTAATTGTCGCTCATGATCCTAGGTGCTCAGCGACTGGAAATGTATTAACCTAAGACAATGCATAAATCACTCTAGTTCCACTCCCCTAAATTTATTTTGATTCATATATGCTTTACGAGGGAGATTCACTTGATCACCTAGTACACTGAAATCATGATCTAAATATTTATGCAGGCTTAAGATAGAGATATTACTATCAATCAAGAAAGCATATATAATTCATATATACATTCACATGAATCTAGCATACAATTTAACATACAATTCAAACATGCTCAACGTGGAGATAACGTCTATCTAACATCTAGAGTGCATATCACAAATTTTCCATCCTCCATTCTAGTATAGCGGAAAGCATTTAATATACATGCGTCCTCTATTATCATACTAGGGGGATTTTTGTAATTTTTTTAACATACTACACCTATCCAAATGGCTCATTAAAGTTCTAAACATGCTTATTTTAACCAACTAACGGAAGATAAGCTTGCATGCTAGCACGTCCTAGTGATCCCTACAGGTATTACTTGTCTAAGCTCGCATGCTAGTATCCACTCATTGGAAGCTCCAAACTTCCTGAAAAACTCACTTGTAGGTTCTAATTCGAGCTAAATTAGGGTCAATATCAAAACTAAAGCGAAGTAAATGAAAGTCAAACTGGACAAAAGTGGGTTCTCACGCACCCCCACCGTGGCTGGGTGGTCGGCTTCACGCGCAGGCGAGTAGCGTGCTGATAGCTCTGGCATTCGAATCCTAGCAAGCATTGTATTACCTCCGAATTTTTTGGTGGTACCGCGTGGTGTGCTCTGGTAGGTTCTCTAGACATATGTATAAAACCACACCATCCAAACCCTCTAAAAAAAAATAGCATTATGCAAAAAATTGAATTACAGTCAATATCTTTGGACGCTACTACGAGGATAAATTTAACATATATGTTCAATAATAATCCTCCACCAAATAGTTCTGCACTTGAGCCATTTTTAAGATCATTTTAGATCACTTTTAAATCATTTTAGATCATTTAAAGCATTGTGCGAAAAAATTGAGTTATAGTTAATAATTTTTGTTGATATTGTGAGGTTTGTTAGTGAGAGAGGAATTGATTCAATGATTGATGAGATGATTGAATTATGAAGAACAAGGATGCTCTATATAGATACAGAGAATACAAAAAGATATTTAGAAAATCTACCTAAAAATCTGCCGAAAATCCAGTAACAAACCAGTAAATAAATCTAATCTAATCAAATCAAAAGTAAATCTAACTCCTAACGGAGATTTAATTAAATACTAACTGACAGCAATCTAAACGAATATGTGATCTTTAACACTCCTCCTTGTTTAGATGTTGTGAACTCCAAGCTTTTTTTTTTTTTTTGAACACCCATCTTGGTCCAATTATCTTTCTGTTGAGAGGTCGATCAACCAACTCCCAGATTTTGTTTTTCTCGATCACTGAAAGCTCCTCCTCGGACAGGTGCATCATCAACCAAAGCATCTTGTCGTTCATCTTTAGACTCTTCCAACATGCTACCAAAGATTAAATTGTTTGGTGCATTAGAAATTTGATTCACCTTCGTCAGTTCGTCCCAATTCCATTGCTCATTTCCAGCAAAATGAACATCTCGGCTCACAATAACACAACTAATGTGTGGTTGAAAAACTCTGTAAGCTTTTGATATAATGCTATACCCAACAAAAATGTCAGCTTCAGCCTTTTTGTCAAGCTTGTCACACTTGACCTGTGGAATGTAAGTGAAGCAAAGACACCCCAATACTCTAAGGAACTTTAAAGAATGTTTGTAACCATACCAAACTTCAAATGGTGTCAGGTCCTTCACAGCTTTTGTTGAAATTCGATTTTGCAAGCACACAACAGTGTTTGCTGCTTTTCCCAAAAAAACGTTTTGGAAGATCCTTCTCATGAAGCATGCATC